AACATATGTAGGTCGTTATCATTTCAGTGCAACTGCACTATTTTCATACAAAATAACCTTTTATGATCGTATATAGTGTTCGATTTACTTTTCTTCAATTTTCTTCGATTACCTTTTTTTCTCTTTTTAAAGTCATGTGGTCGATGTTGGACTAACAGTCTGACTCCTTTGACAAGATTTCACCATTTTCTCTTGCGAATAAAAACACAGGCATGTTGAAAAGCGTATGAATACTTATTTTATGATGAATAATTATTTTAAAGAACTGTCTCCTTTAGTGGTCTAACTGGATATCTGTCGCATATCTGCATTTTCTGTTTTGAAAATATATTCAAATCGCTGAATAACTTTCCATTTACTTTAAAGAGATACACAATTGAAAGAATTGTAACGTTAATTTTAGATTTAATATTTTTTAATACCTACTAAAAGGGATACAAACACTGATAAAAATGAGGCTGACACATCCCTTGTTTCTTCAAACTTGACCTTTTGCACTTAGAAAAGGTTTGACGTTTTGATTTAAACTACTACTGTTTAAAAAAATAAAATAAACATTTCAATATGTTTTAAGCAAGTAAATACACAGGGTAGTATTAATAGTTTTGGTCTGAAAGAAAATAATCCTTGAGGTTTTAGATATGAATCATGACAGTTTTGCACTCACAAATAAAAAAATCTTACATAAACAAAGAATGTTTCTAAAATTCAGTAAAAAGTGGTGCCATTTTAAAAAAAAAAAAAAAAATCCATAATCATTGCTATATAATCTTTTTTGTAAACCTCGACCAAAAACATGGTGTCACATTTCATTCTTTTAGTGAGGGAGGTTATAAGTCCATTTTAATGGGAAAAAAAATTAAGAGATGTCACTCATAAGCTGATGAAAAAGTTTGGTCAGAACCTTTATTGTCAAAATTATATTACAAATCATTTTTTATAAAATATTTGTTAAACAAAATAATTGTACAGAATTCAATTTTGAAACTGCTCAGAATCCATAATGAAATAAGATTTATTGTGAACCATTTCTTCTGGTGGAAGGATATTTAGAAGAAATCTTTCAAATCTACAGATTTCTCTAATTAAAGTATGTTGTAACTTAAACTTTAAATATTTTTACCCAGAGAATATTTTTCACTATTATATACTAGTAATATTTAAAATAGATTTACATCGTTTTTCGCCTGTGAATCACATAATTATGTACATTACTAGTCCCAACTTTTTTTCATTACTTTAAATTACACGATAGTTTTAACTGACCGTGCTGGTCAGTGGTCAGTTCGCGAGTCATAAAAAGCTTGATACAAGAAAAAACGTTATAATTGCCTGTTTAGTATTTTAATACCACAAATATGATACTTTATAAGTGCAAAAGTGCAAAAAGGTCACACGAAAATTTACGCGCATTAATAGCAATTCTCTGTAACCACTTAAACTTCTTTGCCACGCATGGTCACCGATTTTGATGAAACTTTGCCCATTATTACAACTTGACACCAGAAACATATATCAAATAAAATTTTGTTGCTATGTGTCTTGGTTGCCATGGTAACAGCCAGAAAAGTTGAAAAAATTTGAGATTTTCAGCTACTTCAAATCTTTATTTACCCTTAATAAAGACTAAGAAAAACAAACAAACCATTCTCCCAAAAACATGACACCTTGTTGCCACTTATGCCACAAAGAAACTATTTAGATTTTATCTCTTAGTAAGTGGTAACCATGGGTACATTTGATATACATTTTAGATGCTGAAAAATGCTGAAAAACGCTCAATATTCACAACTGATAGATGTTACATGATCAAACTCAATCAACAATCAAAGAAAAACAATGAAAAATATTTGACCTTATGTAATTAGGTATTGGCAATATATTTCAAAAAATAACTTCCATGGTTACCATGGTAACACAGTGTAACCATGCAAAATCTGTTGTTTTGATTGAGTTAATGCTACTATGTTGAGGAAAAACAATTAAATTCATGACTGGCACATATACATCCTTGGGACCTTGCAACACCGACAACATAAGAAAAATTGGGATTAATCGTTACTTTGCAGTGTAACCATGGAAACAATGTACTAGTTGTTTAAAGTGATATTTTTTGCTGCTTCAGTAATTTACTAACTTTTTAATCAAGAAACAAATTATTTAACTCACCTCGAATAGTACTTATCTGGTAGAACTAAAGTTGAATATCATATATTGAAAAAGTTTGTTGAAAAATACATCACTGTTGCCATGGTTACCAAGAAGAGAAAATGTTCGATTTTATTAATTTTATGTCAATATTAGACCCTATGTGCCAGCTTTTTGCATCCAGTTAGAGATTGGGTGGTAGTCAAAATTGAAAGTCAGGTTAGTTGTTCACATATATCAATCATTAAAGTTTTGGGAATCTACATATAAGGGTACGTATCCAAGGAAACATAGTATTTTTCAGATTTTTATGCATGTTTTTTTGCCTTATTTCCATAGCAACGCACTATTTAAAGAATTGAAATTGAATTTTTTGAAATGTGAAAATTGGGGTCACACCAAGGCCTTTAAAAATTGATCATCAGTTATATAGAAATATGCTTTTTAAAAAGATAGGATAAGATTAAAACACTAAGAGAGTAAATTTAAAATCCCTTCGTGGTATTAAAACCATGGCAACCATTGCCAACCTATAAGCAATATAAAATTTTGTCCTTGGTATATGTTAAAAGGATCTCTTGTCTATTGTTTGCTTGCATTTCAACCTATAATTGTTTTTATTCTTAAGTGTATGACTTTATAAAATTAAATAAACAAAATTATTACTTTCGAATACTTTGTTTCCATAGTAACGTATGTTATAGTTGATTTACCAAACATGTTTATCATGCATTTAAGACACCAGGCCTTCAACTTTCAGAAACAGTCATTGCCACTTGTTTGCTTTGCTGCAAACATTAACTGTGGGACTCTGAACATCTTGAAAAATGCCATTTTTCAAACTTTAGGACATGTTGCTATGGTAACCATGACACGTAGCAACCAATTTTTGCCTGATTTGAGTTTACGGTATCAAAGACTTTTATCATAGAGAGTTTGGAGAAATTCTGGGACTATGCGTGCCACAGCTCTTATATAAAAGTTCAAGTCATTACAGAGAATAGCTCTTAATTTGCAGGATTTTTTTTTTCAAAAAAGTATTTATTATTTAATTATTATTTAAACTATTTTATATAAACTAAGATTATATTAATTGCCATGATTACATCTGATAAAATGTAATAAAGGTTAAAGTGATTAACCAAACAGCGCAAAAAGGTCAAATTATTTGTACTTTTGCACACTGACTATATGAGAAGTTATCTAAAATATACTATCAAAATTCCTTGATATAACTCATGTCACGAGTGACATACCTTAATTAAATTTTCAAGAGTTTTTTTTTTTTTTTTTTTTTTTTTTGGTGAATGTAAGCCCTGTGTAGTTTAATAAAACCCCGATCGGTTTATTTTTAAATTCGATACATGCAAGTAAGTTTAAAGTCTCTAGTATTTGACTTAGGTCTGGAAAAAATAGTTGTACATAACAAGTACTTGATTTTAGAAGATGTTTAAAAGCCAGAGTGAATAAAGAAAATCACATTTGCATGAATTTCTAATTTGATATCCTTCCGCTCAAAAAATAGAAGCAATCCCCCCCACCCCACCCCACCAGCCAAAAAAAAAAAAAAATTAAAAAGCATTTGACTCTCTTTTACTAACATTATATTAGGTTGTATATTTAATGTTAGTAAAAGAGGTTGTATATGTAAAAATGAAGATTAATATTACACATTTTGAACATATTAATCCTGTCACTTTGAAATCTAAATACTTAGGAGCATACTTCCTTAGGGGTAATCATAGTGTAAACAGTAATATATGTGAGTATATAAGAAGTAAATGTATTATTTTGGGGGTCTGTTAGGATGGAATTCATATTTATAAACGCAACCTCACAATATAATGAAATTGAGATTTTTTTTGTTTTTCTTTGTTATTACTTGGGCTAAGAAGTCAAACTAGCATAGAAGAAGTTTTCAAAGAATAATTCATTTTCACTATAGATTCAACACAGCCCCGACTAACACCAGATCCCCAAACCCCGGGGTCAAGAAATTGAGAATTTTTGAAGAGGTACATTTGCTCAGCACAACTATGCACTTACTTTGTTTGCTTAACCGGGAGCAGAGAAGAAAATTTCTGAAACCCTGACCCTTGAGCCCCGCCCTGACTCCAGAACCCTGATCCTGGGGCCATGAATTTTACAATTTTGGTAGAGGGCTCAGTGCTTATTACAATCATGCCAACAGTTTATTTTGTTTTATTTTATAACTCTGTGGATCCTTCACAATGTTGAATTATACACAGGTGACCTTTCAGCCCTTGAGCCTCTTGCCAAAGTCTGAATCCATCAAATCATTTTTCGACGAAATTGTAAGATGGAAGAAAAAACTAAGGCTTACCTGAAAGTAATGAAATAGGTGAAGATAACGAACAGTGATCGATCTAAAAAAAATGCAAACAATACAAATCTGTGAAAAGGGCATTAAACTTCCGGAAATCCAGAGATAGGATCAGGTACCTAGGAGGAGTAAGCATCCCCTCTTGACCGATCACGCCCTGACCGTAAGCCCTTCATATTGATTAGGTAGACGGAACATTCTATAGTCAAATTCACTATAAAAACAAAGTCCTAACAATTGGTATAAAACACGTCAGCCAAAATACTACCCAACAATAGCTTATATTTTCTAACAAAGTCATTATAACCAACAAAGAATTTACGAAATGCTGACTTAAAACATGGTTGTTAAAATCCCTGTAACATCAATTTATCTGTCAGTAGCCTGCATCGGTTAAAAAAAATGATCGTACTTGGAGCATGTTCTTGAGTATCAAATAAGTTGGGAGATGTAAACACAATATGCAGGTGATAACGGAATATTACTAAATAAACAAGAAAAGTTGACGATGGAAAATCTGAAGTCATCTTGTTTATCATTCAATTTTAGTTGTTATTTGGCCCTCATCGACTATAGTCAGTAAAACATACATATATGAAACAGAGTGGCAGACTCTGTGGTGTCTTTTATTTCAAGTTCAATACAATATAACGAGTCGACATATGAACAGAAGTGACTGTTGTTAATTGATAATTGCACACATAGAATACAAGAAATTGTTTTTCTTTTCTTTTCTTTTTTTTTGTTAGCGCCCTTGGACGTCACCTGTCCTCCTAACTGGACACAGCACCCCACCTACAAGAACTTGTGTTACCGATTGGGGACAAAACAAGTTAAGTACAGTTCCGTCGACGAAGAATGCAGCGCCCTGCTAACTGGAGCCACAGTGGCCAGTGTTTACAACGTAGGCATCCACAAGTTCCTCGCCGACTCTGGATTCCTGTCAACGTATGTTCCCCATCTGAGCTTAAATGATGTTAATTTGCTGAAAATGTCCGTCATACTGATTCCTGTGATAAATGTTATAGAAATCCCCATCTCACTTCCTTAGATGTATAAGAAGTTCTTGCATCTAAAAAAGTGAGACAGGGATTTGTACTAGTTACATTTGTCATAAGGACAGCAGGATTAGAACATGAAATAGACTCTAAACGTACATAAATTAGCGTACACAAAATTTGGTGGAATCTCATCAACTAAATAGCTAAGTATTTGGAGTCAAGTTTCTACATGTATGTATACTATGTTTTACTGTTTTAGTGTGTACTTGAACTAGTGCACAATATGCAGAGGTACAGGCGCTACAATAGAGTTACTACTAAATTAATTATGTTTACAGTATTGACAAAAATCATAATTCCACTGCTGAAAGTAATGTGAATAACAGTATTCATTTTTTAATCTTTCTTTAATATCTATTACTGTCAATTAAGATTTATAAACTCTGCTCTAAGAACTTAATTGATTGTGCTTGACATGTTTTTTTTCAAACAGTGTTAAAATAGAAATTGTGTTTCCGAAACGCCATTCAACTCAGCATATGGTAACCACCACACACACACACACACCCTCTCTCTCACACACAATTCACATTAAGAGGGCTGGGTGGTCGTGGCCATTTTTAGACTATATTGATCTCCTTTAGAAGGAGAGCTCCATATAAAGATATACAAAAATGATCAAATTTTAGAACTAAAATGTATGAATTTTTTCTTTGCCAAATGATAGTTGACAGCTTAAGATATCATATCTAAAAAAATAAGTTATATCTGATGGTTAATTTGTTGACCCCCCAGCCTCCTTAAGTCAGCTAATTTTCATCAAAATTAATAAAATTTCAGGGGCCTAGAGTACTATACCGGCTTAGTGAGGGAGGGATGGAGATATGTATTTTCTGAACTGAACAGTGAACCTCTGGGAGATTGGAATGAGTGGGGATCCATCCCCTGGTACAAATGCAGTCTATATGAATACAGAGCCAGTGAATGGAAATGGAAAACAAACAACTGTAATAAGGTCCGGCTTTATATATGCCAATACATTGTACCCACCCCAGGTAAATTATACGATGTCTCATTCTGTCATTCTGCTTCTTATCATAATCTCTTTGTATCTTTTTTGTTTAATTATTGATTGATGAAAGTTCGGTAATTATATCTTGGAAGATATATGGCGAGTTACCGGAATCATTTGATCTTTTTCTCAGTTTAGATTGTAGTTTTCCTTCATCTTAAATGAGTATAAATCATCGTATATGTATTTTTGTATTATGATAACAGGAACTATACCTGTTGTGTTGGTGGACGGCGACCTCATGTCGGGGCGGGCAGAGATCTTCACCAACGATATGTGGGGGACGCTTCAAGATTCTGCCTTTTCGGGAACGGGGATTGAAATCTGTGAGGCATTGGGATACGGGTAAGAACCATGTCCATTTCGACGAAGGTAATGAATATAATTTTACCCTAAGTTCTTTTTCTCGTGTTTTTACACAACTGACCAATATTGGTTTGTGGTAGCATCAATGCGTAGCGTAATTTATCACGTCTTATCCCACCTTTCCTGATCTTTTGACCTGGGAGTTTAAAATAGGTTATTATTTTTACTGAACTGGACCATAACATTTAGTTATAAGCCGTGGCTTAAGGTATGCCATCTAGGTTTTTTAACATATGACCATGATATAAACGATCATGAACCCTTATATGACCTTGACCTTTGAAGTCAAATTATTGCCAATTACAGAAAGCTATAATTGTATTTAAAAAAATTCACTCAAAATTTTGTCTCTTCCAAACCTGCAAAAAATTGTAGATAAACTAACTCATAATCGATTATATGACATTATTCTTCCTTAGATTTTTTTACAAATAGGAATTCGTTTTCTCGTAAACTCATATGGATGGCCATGAATGTCTCCATTCTTGATAATACTTGACATCAAAAATATATTGTAAAGAGACAATTTGTGGCAAATCGTACTAAGAAAAATGTAAATATAAGATATGAATTTTTATTTTTTAATATATCTTGAGTCACACGAACTACAACATATCAATCATGAAGCGCTAACACGCTTCATGAAAGATGCCAGATGTTCTTTAGACTTCCCAGAAGAAGATTTGCTAAATAGCAAACAGCACATCTACCCTTTTCGTTAAACATATAGACTAAATATGTTATCGTGATATAGCTTGTCTCTTTTTAATTTTTGAAGATAATCGCCTGAAACAGTTAAACAGGACAGGGTACGGATGAAATAAAGCAAACTCCGTTATTTTTGTTATTGTCCCTACATGTCATATCATGAAAGCTATATTTCAGTATATGAAATCAATGTTTAATCTATTCTGATCAAACCTTAGTATGTCATCACCATGTACAGTAAGAAAATTTACAAAGGAATCCTCGTATTTTTGACAATGTGAATCATCGATGGTTTTTAAAAGTTTACCAGGGATAGCTTAATATACATGTATTCTACTATCTGTTGCTTAGGTTTTCTTTGCTGTGGGTGTTCTTGTAATTTCAGTGCATGCGATTCTACTCTACCAAAAACAGATTTTATATTACTTTACTCATTAACAGCTAGAGTTTTGGTTTTATAGTTATTTTACCACGTGATTAACCATGTCCGTGATCTGATTGCTAACATTGCTAAGGTTTTACACTTTCAAAACAATTGGTGTTTGTATTTTATAGGTTTGTGGGCACTCGGAATTGTGCAGGTGTGACCTGTGGCACAGGCAAAGTCTGGTACGAGAGGGTTAACTGTGCTTCCGGGGCAGCCGTATCTTTCTCTAATTGTTTGACCGGTTTGACACCGTCCGATTCCGATGACCATTCTAAGGACCTGATTGTCCAGTGTCAAGGTAATATATATCCTGTAATGACCTAAAAAAAAAATTATATACGTGCTTAGATCATCAAGGAACACACTTGTACATGTAGTCAGAATGTCATCGTGAAAATATGTCATGTTGGACAACAATTACGGCGATCATAAAACACAATGGTTCGATTAGAGAATTAAAGCACAGCTATTCAGAGACACGCAATATCCATTACTTCTAGGCTATGACTAGCAAGTCATCTAATTAGAGGTTCTTAATTCAAAATTTCTAATGATGGAGCTCTTTGCAATTAATATTGTTCTTAGTGATCATATCAATATGAAGCAACCTCAGGAAGTGCAGATCAAGAGATTTGAATGACACCCCACCCCCACCCCCAGGGTAGTTATAAAAAGTTTGCTTTGGAATGGAATATATGGAAAAAAATATTTTTTTCCCTCAAGGACTATGATTAATCATATCTATATGCAAGCATCTTCAGGTAGTGCAGATTTAAGTTGTTCAAATCTTGGTCCAAGCAGGATGGAGCCACAATATATGGGGTACAATTTTTTTTATAAAATTATATAGGAGAAAAACATCTGTAATCAAGATAAGCAGGGCTAATGTGACTCAGGTGGACGTTGAGGTGCATGGGCCTCTTTTTATCCAATTTGTGTGTTTCCTATCCCCTCGCCAAAAGCTCTGGGATAAAAAAAAAAACATAACTCGTTTGATAAAAATCATATACAATCACAAAGTAGGGGGGGGGGGATAATGAGCAGAGGGTGGTTCTTCGTTGGAGAGTTTCGGTACTTTTATTTCTTCTGAATGTACTTATTGGGTTTGCATTTCAGCTCCGGAGCCAACAACCGCTCCAAACCCGATTTCAACGATGCCAATAACCTCTGACAATAACGTCACGGGCTGCAACTGCACTGTGACAGTTTACGTAACACCGGCGTCATCAGCATGCTTGACAGGTAAATAAAAGATGATTTTCTCAAATTTAAATGCATTTGAAATGGAACAATTCTTATAAATTTTGATTGCTTTCTGTTGATTAAGGTAATTCTATATTCGACACTTAATGGGCTCAATCTTTAAAAGACTTGCTTTTGTAAGAAAAACAAATTATTATAGAAATTTACATCATATAAAAAGGTGTCCGATTGCTAATAATATTCATTAAGACGTATTTTCAAGGTAGATAAACGCAACAAATTTAGGAAGTCAAAGTATTATGCTTCTTTTCACAGGTAACAATACAGCCAATCCTAACACCACCAAAGTTAGTGTCGTGTACGACGCCCTGCCAACCTTCAACGCAAAAGATACAGCCAAATATTCAATGAGGACGCGGTATGACAACCGAGCGTCTGCAAAAGCCATGGGATCATTCGGCATACTCATTATCATTGGACTCATGTCCTTCATTGTGGTGATAGATTTATGGAGTGTGGGAATGCGGACGCTTCGGCTGAGGGGACTTTGCAAAGGACTTTGTAAGAAGAAAAAGAGTGTAAACACGGTGTCTAAGAAAATTATCAGAATAGAAAGACTATTGGAACCCAAGAACAAAGATGCACGTAGTTCTTTGTCCACCAAAAAATCACTGACAAAAGCCAGCATTAACCACAAAGCCAAGACATCTTATGTAGAGAAAAATGTTAGCATTAATCAAACTGCTAAGACATCTGATGTAGAGAAAAATGTCAGCGATAACCAAACTGCTAAGACATCCGGTGTTGCAAAGACATCCGATGCTGTTAAAATATCCGATGTTGCTAAGACAGCCGATGTCAGCACTAACCCAAATCCAAATTCAACCGATTCTCAGAAAAATGACATGAAAATTGAATCTTCAGCTTAATACTACGGTTCTCTCAAACAATGATACCCAAAGTTGTGTGAATTTTTGCTACTAGAATCACAATGTTTCTTTGCCTGTTTTTATTTTATTTTATTTATCTTATTTTTTTTAAGTTATTGATTTTTTATGTTATTCATTGGGGAAGGCTTTAGATCTGCGGTCTTGTTGCACAGAAGGGCTAATCCATACCCCATTTGTTCATGTGTCATTATTTTGCGTTCGAACTTTTCGTGCAGTTAAACAGCAATACGTAATCCTTAAGCTAAGATCCCGGTAACATCCGAAAAAGACTTGAATTCCTAGCATATCATACCTCAATTCTTATACCTATGGAGCGCCATATTAAAATGAACTCAAATAACTAAGGTATCATTAATTATCTGAGGATATCATTAATTCAATTGCCCGCAAAAACTGAATTGATATGCGTATCATAGTGTAAAATTCACCGATTCACAAAAAAAACTTTTTGGTCTTTACTCGTCGGTATCCGGTCACATGCGCATCAAATAAATGAATGAGAGCAATAAATAATTTGATGCGCGCATTAAATGAATTGATGAGAGTAAAAAGAATGGAGGTGTACAAGGCGAGGACAATCCCCAACCCGTTCTGAGAAAAGACATTTCTCAATTCTAAAAGTTCACGAAAAGTTACTGTATATTATTTTCAAAAATTGTATTATCAATATCATCTTTTGCATATTTGATTCCTTTATTTTATTGAATAACTTATTAATAATTTATTTTTCAGTTATGTTTTTGATGTATATTAAAAGAAACAAGAGGCCCATGGGCCAAATCGCTCACCTGAGCACTGTGGCTTGGAAAAAAAGCAAAACTCAGTTCAGTATTGAAAAGCTTTAATGCAAAGGTGGTCCCGACCTACCCCTAAAAGAGGAGGGGGGGGGGTATGATTTGAACAAAATTGAATCTACATTAACTAAAGATGATTACATATTTCTTCGACTAACTGCGACTTTTTTCCCTACAAGTTTGAACTTCATTATGGTACCATCCTACCCCCAGGGGTCATGACTTGAACAAATCTGAATCTACACTATCTGAGGATGCTTCAAATAAATATGACCAATCATAGCTTTGCTGTTCTTGAGAAGAAGATTTTTAAAGATTTTTCCTATATATTCCTATGTAAAACTTCGATTGTCCATTGTGACCCCTGGGGGTCATGATTTGAAGAAACTACCTGAAGATGATTCCACCTGAGTTTCATCTTTCCTGGCCCAGTGGCTCTTGAGAAGAAGATTTTTAAAAGATGCCATTAATTTTCACTAATTTGTAATTATCTCCCCTACATTTGAATCCCCTTTACCCAAGGATACTCCGTGCCAAGTTTGGTTGAAATTGGCCCAGTAGTTCTTGAGAAGATGAAATTGTGAAATGTTTAAAACGAGCTTCACACTCTCTCCAAAGCTCAGCCTAAGACTAAACACGTTATCCACAACGCTACAAAGTCTTGAATTCAATTTATGACTTGAAAAGATCTTTGAATTGTTTCACACTTCAAATGAATTGATGATATGTCCAAATAATTAAAAATATCAAGTTTATTTTACAAAATCATGATATACAGCGTATAATATTTAACTTTTTCTTCAAATTCTTCTTGCCAGATTTTGCCTCTCCGAGCCATTCAGCACAGGAATACCATATTGTATTACTTAGTGGATCATTTAAGTAGCAAGTATAGTTGCACTTTTCTTGTTATATGATCTTTAATTTGCTGCTTTTCCTCCTTTTCCTGATCTGTTCCAATTACTTTTGCAAGAAGTCTGTGTTTCTACTGTATGCCCCCTTTCTTTGGGGATTTAGTACAATTTTCTGAGGGAAAAGGGTGCCAGCTTCTGCCAGTTATGTTGCCTTAACTTAGAGTTTCACTGATACTGGGATCACTTTTTCTTCTGTCTGAGAGGAACACACTTTACAAAAATAGCTGCATGCAACACATGTCTAACAGGATGATCATTTTCCTTCATCCGCCACTATTTCCACTTTCTGTGTGTAGTGTATTGAAAAATATAAATTTTACACTCAACGGTATTACAGATCTTTATATTTAACATTTACCAAACATTTAATGAAAATCCAATGAAAAAAAAAAACCCATTAAAATCTAAAAAGTAAAATGGAGAACAATACAATGAAAGAAATTTTCGAATTAGTAAAATGTAACAGAATGATGAAGAAATAAAGCATTTCTCAGGAATCCTCCTTTTCCTTTCCCTTCTGTAATTTCTTCTTGAGCTGTTTTATTTCATTCTCAAGTCTGAAATCATGTAAGGAGAAAACACTACAGAATAAAGCACTGGATAACAGATCTATGTTTATCACTGTACTAAGATCATTTAAAAATTATTAAATGTTTTAGCTATTTAATATACCTCATACTAGCTAATAAATAATAAATTGATAAAACTGTAGTTAGTCTTATAAGATGAAAAAAAATTAATTCTTGTCTGTAGGAAGTACTTATGTGTTGATAACCCTTGATCACAAATATAACTTCCAATAATATGATGCATCTTTTACATAGCAGTAAGAAATATTATGATATACAATATGAAATAAGAAATTTTGCACAGATCAAGCATGTATTTTTCAAATTTCTTGCTGGCATACAGGGGCCCGTTTTACAAAAGAACTTACGACTAAGGGTGCAACGATAAACCGTTTAACGGTATATCGCGGTATATTTTTCCACGGTTCAATTCACGATACATTAAACTGATATCGAGGTTCGTTTCAATCGGTCCAGAATTATCCATTTTGTGCGTTTTATTTCCTTCTTTACTATTTCAAAATGGCTTCCTCGCAAAACGTGAGGTCGCCGATAACGCATTTACGGCAGTAAAACTCCTCTCCAGCATCTTACAGACCTCAGATTTAACACGGAGAAGGACTTTATGTGATTATAAGTTATAGATGTTAAGACAAATGATAAACCCTTTAGATCTAAACGTATTCTTTGGTAATACACGATATTTCATCACGTGTGTATTTCGATGAAAATTCGCTGTCTTGTTGACTAAAACGTATTATCACGAGAAATATGACAACTGGTTTTCTACGTAAATAAAAGGTATGAAAGAATGAATATTTTCCTTTTTCATTCCAATTTAAAAGGAAGATTATTAGGTAAGGTTCCCGTAGTTCCCTGTAAATGTTGATAATTGGTTTAGAATGTTGTCACAACTCAGAGATCTATGTAACAATCCAATTCAAGTTAACAAAATGTTATTTTAATTATTTTTTAAAAAAATATGAACATTTTGTATAACCCTGTCAAGTTTTAAAAAATATATGATGACAAACTTGAAAGACTGTTTAACCTTGTCATGTATCGTGATACGTATCGTATCGTGAACTGAATACCGTGATACGTATCGTATCGTGAGGTTAGTGTATCGTTGCACCCCTACTTACGACTAAGACCAAAATAATTCTGCTTATAACTTTTTAATTTACGTTATATTGAAAATGGTTTTTATCTTTTTGAAAGGAAAGTAGTAAGAAATTATTGATTTTGCAAAATTTTACAATCAACTTAAGTTTTTGGTCTTGGTCTTAAGTTCTTTTGTAAAATGGGCCCAAGGATTTACTGGTGTTTTTTTCTATGTAAGAGTAACTTACCTTTGCACCTCTAGATGGCACTGTTCTTTGGTTTCCTGTCGTGTCAGGTGTGCTACTTCTATCATGCTGTACTATAACACACAAATTCTTTGAAAATTATTTTGTGTTGTTTTCATCACAAACCATCATGTGACAGCACCACTATCTTTATTGGGCCAGTTTAATTATTAAAAAATGGAGAAAAATACTTTCTCATTCCAATAAAACACTCTTTTCATCTATTGCTACTATTATGCTTTGGAAAAATACATCTCATTACCCTAACAAAAATGATAGAGATAACTTATACTTAATACATATCAGGGCTAGACAAATAGCATTGCCTGACGCTGGGACAACAATTTTGTTTGGCGGGCAAGTTATTGATAAGTGGTACCTGCCCATGGACAAGTGCTTGTCAATTTAACAGAAAATAATGTAGTTTGTTTTACCGCTGTTAAAATATAATGAATCACTGCAGAACACCTGTTTTCACTGCTGTTGACCACTACATCGAATACTCTGTCGGAACTCCTCTAGAATTTACCCATTTGTGTGTTGTTAAAATATACACAAGATCGTAAAACATGGCAGCTATTGATGCCATGTCCAAAAAGTTGAGGGTTTTAAACCTTTTAATTGTCAAAACATAAATTTCATGCCGCGAGTACAGACCGTGTTACTGGTATTAAAATTGGAGCTGTTGACTAGCGATCACACATGTAGTAATGAAGCTGATCGCTCAATTGGCATACAGTAGTGTTTTTCACAATGAAATAATCTATGTATTAATTTTGTTTTCATAAATTATTGAAAAAGATTTTTAAAGAGAATAGAATGAAACATTGACTTTTTAATTTTACTACTTAAATGAACCGTGATCATTTGTGCATATTATGCTAGTAATGAAATCCCGTTGATCATGTTTATATTTAGGTTGACAATGTGCACTTTTATTCTAATGCTAGATATTCATATGCCTTGCAATTCGAAATCATCAAATGATTTGACTTCTTCATTTTTTTTGTCTTTGAGTATTCTTGAAATGTTAAAGTATTACAGAGAAATGTAATTGTACATATTTATACACTGATGTGTACATGGATTTAAAATTTCATGTTTAATAATCAATGTGCACATCACATGCTAAAAGTCTCCCTAGAATTAGAATTCCCCCCCTAAATTTCTCCATGAGAGAAATGAGTGATTTTGGGTATAGGTAGGTCCCTGTATAGTGTCTCAGTGGAGAAATAATTTAAAGTTAGTGATAATGCTTTAATTTTGTGTTATTTATGAAAAAAGTGGGACAAGCATATTTTTTGGTAGGGCAAGTAATTTTACATGGTAACCTGTCCGAGGGCAAGTACTGCAAAATTCTATTTGTCTACCCCTGCATATTCTTTTTATTTACCATACATTAACATTGTTTATTGAAGAATCGCTGCACTGAGCTCAAATTAGACTTAACAAGAACCTCAGATCTGCTGCAATATAGTTTGGAGATTGTCAGAATTAAGATAAGAACAAAGTAGTAACCTGAACTAGGCTGGCCTGTCTTCTAAAATACACCATCCCTTCCTCATCTGCATGGAATGGGTGCATACTGACCAAGGTCCCACATGATACATCTGTATTTCTAGAGTCCATTGGGTCCCAGGGTTTTATGGTTATTTCTATCACATAGTCTGTGGCTAAGATACCCTGTAGAAAGAAACAAAAGTTTCTGCTTGTTATGAACTAAACTCATAATGACTTCTTGTAAGAGAATAACTTCCTTGTCTCTAATATTGCCTCACTTTACTTGAGCACTGGGAGTGTGACTTCTACATAGAGGTGAGGATTTAGCCGCCCACTCTTCCCATACATGAGTACAAGTTGATTTATACAAATTCCTTGTCATACCCTCCAACCCTCTTCCAGGCACCCAGTACCAGATTACTTACACAACTGTATTGAGAAAGTGACTCCTTGTCACACCAGCAGTAGAGATGAGTACGGAATTGATGGGGACGTTTTCTTTCCTCAGTCTCATAATACTCCCTACAATCAAAATACCTTACTGAATACTTAAATAAAGCTGTCAGACTTCATGATAAATTTGACCCCTCAATTATATCCCACTTTGGGGATTTTTTGACACTCACCCTGGGTCTGGCACACACTGAAGAAACCTCTCCTCCTCTGTACACTCCTTCTGTATTACGGGAACAAACTTGACCTTGTACCTGTGTGGGGCCACAGGAGGAGTGTATCTAGACATCAGGTCATCCAGACTCCCTATGACATGGTCTTTCTTCAAAATTGAAAAGAATAATCCAAAATCCACACAGACAGAAAAAAGGTACATGTAAGATTTTTGAGCATATCAAAGTTTGAGACAGTGCATTTGTTCCAAAAATAAAGAAACTTTAAGAAACTTCTCTATATATCTGCTACCTGGTATTGGGTTAATGTCAATCCACGAACTTCACCAGAGTCTATAATGCCGAGGTATATTGTTCCACCTTTCCCAGTGTTCACAAACCCATTCAAAGCTCTGTAAAAGTAGGAGGGGGCAGTTAAAGTGTGTATGGCCTATAATCATACAAGGAAAAGGATGACACAATTCCTGTGCGCTGAAGAATCTCTTAATCATTATGCACTTCTGTGTCTTTTTCAAACATCCTAACAATTTAATCAGTTACTTTTTACACACAAGCATATCAATCTGTTTATATCTTCTAGCCCATGCAATCTACCTGGATAAAAGATACTACCTAGATACAGCCTTTCTAGATGCTTTCTCTTTCAGTGTTTCTTTAGTCCAGGGAGGTAACTCTTCAACAGCTAAATTCCTGTGACCTTTAAATTCGTGATACATATCCTCCTCAAATGGAACAACCGAGTCTTTGATGTAGTATCTTAAAAGCTTCGGTTTGGATTGGGCCATTTTATTGCTGTCCAATCTTATCTATACAGAATTCTCTTCACTGCCTGATTAAAGTAAAATGTAATTAAAAGTATGTCTTTAATCAAAGTTTTTATAAGGCAACTTTCAAAGAAAAAAAAATGTCCAGGAAAAATGTTCATCAATTTTCATATTGGATTTTTCATGTTGTAGACAAAAAGTCAAATGCATCTACTGAAGGTCAAACGACAAGAAGGGGGCATGTCCATCTACAACACAATGAATGATAAGCTAATTTTAACAGGTCCAGCACATTCTCATGACCGAGATATATAGCTTGAATAACCTATCCAGATTTAATAAGTTTTTCAAAATAACTGGATTAGCAGATTTTTCACAAGTATACATTTTATATGAAATAAATAAAAACAAGTATTCACTGAAAAAAAAAAGTCAAAGATACTAAAGCTTTTAAAATAACTTTGAACAGTGTTGAATATACAGACATTTTTAAGGTAAAGTTCATTTTTGTTTCTAGAAATGTTTTATTTACAAAAATAATATATTTATGTGTTTTTAAATATATGATCTAGCATCACTTTAGAAAACTCAATCCCCTCTAGGGCTTGAGTAAAAATTACAAGGGAACGACTTTACTTTACCGCTCCCCAGAAAAACGCGCTATTATATAGTGTCGCCGTAGGTGACTTCAATATATATAAGATTGAGCAATCGAAAAAAATAAAATATATGAGGTTTTAAGCCTTTTTGACTCCAAAATCGAATTCTACGGTTAAAAGTTTATGATTTAGCATCACTTTAGAAAACTCAATCCCCTCTAGGGCTTGAGTAAAAATTACAAGAGAATGACTTTACTTTACCGGTCCCCAGAAAAACACACTAAAATATAGTGTTGCCGTAGGAGACTTCAATATGTGCGATCGAAAAAAATGAAAAATATGAGGTTTTAAGCCTTTTGACCCCAAAATCGAATTCTACGGTTAAAAGTTTAGTTTAAAACTTCATTTTTAAACGAAGTTTTTAACCTCATTCTCTGAAAAAAGTAATGAATATTGTTTATTCAGTGAAAAGGAGACAAAAAATAATTGTGAATGAAGCGCATGCGGCACATCCTTAGTGCCATATCTTTCGTACTTAGCAATTTTTTTTTATGCAAACAAACCAATGAGATGTCATTGAAGCTGAATGAAGATCTTGCAAAAAATACAGATGCAACTGATTTTCTTAATTAATCTAAAAGAACAAGACACTTACCCTAATCTCTCGGATAGTATGCGAGGACTAACCCAAATCTCCCAGGCGGGTGCTAGACCATGCTAGACTAACCCATGTGCGAGATTAACCCTAATCTCTCGGATGGATGCGAGACTAACCTTAATCAGTTGAAAACTTATGCAAGGACTAACCCTAATCTTTCAGGTGGGTGCAAGACTAACCCTAACCAGTCGAAAAATGTGCAAAACCAACCCTAATCAGTTGTGACATAAATCTTACGTCATAGTGCAATGAGCGCACGGATCTTGCGGACATGGGGAACGGTAAAGTAAAGTCTACCCATTACAAGTATATGTCACAGTGATGACAATGGATAGGTCCAGTTCAATCAGTACATTTAGCTACCTAGCTAAAATTACCTACCGTAGCTTTATTTAACACCTCAGGTAGCTTAATTTAGCTATTTCAAGGCAACTTTTCACAATTTTCCATTTTATTTCAAAAAAGACAAAAAATTGCAAATAAATGACTACTAATATTTTTATACTAGGGATTACTTAAAAAGTAATCCAAAGCAGAGATAGTTTTAACATTGCTGCATTTGAACACTTTTAAGGAAAAGATGCATTTCCATTTTTGAGTAACTGTACACCACCTTGTGTGCGATGAGGCGGTGATAAGTATGATTGCTTCTCATTGTGCTCATGTAACCAGAACTGGTTTTCTTTGTTATTTCATTCAAGAAGTAAACTTTGGTCACAAATTACTGTTACTGTTGTATATAGCCCTAAAACTTTTAGAACTTTGATTGAAATTGCGCAGAAGAAGACACATCTTCAAGAGTGATTTTTTCATGAATTGTTTTCAGATGAGTTCAAAGTTGAAAATTATCACTGCATCAAAGTGCAATTTTCTGCACTTTCTGGGGAAAATGCTTCTTCAAGAAATAAGTTTGATTTAGAAGTTAAATAAAGCTACTTCAGGTAAGTGAATATAAAGCTATGTAGGTAATTGAAGCTACGTAGCTAAATCTAGTGATTGTACCAGCCCTGATAGACAAACAGAAAAGGTTTAATTATATGTTTACAACCATTTGCTGATCACCTATTCAGCTATCTGAAAATTTGAATGAAAAATGCATGCATTTATTTAACTAAATATCCGATACATTCTTTTACCTCCTTCATCAACAGTAAACGCCCCAGTCCCAGATGGCAGATCCGGACCAACAAAATAAAATAAAAATTCCCGCAATAAACAAAGAAATGGAGAGATATCGAACCCGACTTAAATAGGGAATCTGAGCTCGATGTCTATATGTCTTCGATATATTCTTATCTACATCTACATAGTACAGCGTTCCATCAAACCTGATGATTATACGCTGGCCCTGCACAAACAGACCTCTAAATTTTAATTTAAAAAGTATAAATAAACTAAGTGCCATAGAAAGTATAAATAAGCTAAGTGTTATGGAAAACAATTTACATTGTGCATCAAAAAGGTGTATATCTATATATATATATTTACATTGTGCTCTCATTAGCTCTATAAATATAAGAGCTATGGAACATAGCTTTGGACCAGAGTTCTGAACTGGTCCAAAGAGGCTGCTGCCACGACTGAGTGTGGAAGAGAATTCCACAAAGTCACTGTATGGGGAAAGAAGCTTTTATAATAATCAGTACGTGTACTGTAGGTCTGAAAATGAAGAGGACTGGTATTACGTGTGATGGTTGTTGTCTGAGGTACTAGATAAAGGTTTTGATCTGTAGCCACTAATTTGTGTGTAATCTTATATAACATTATCAGTCTACATATTTTCCTTCTATGATCTAATGCTGGCCAATTTAGATGGTGTAATTAACATGTTGGAGACACTACTTGTATTATGGTATTTATGTGTGACATATCGTGCAGCTCGTCTTTGTACATTTTCTAGTTTATCTTTGAGTTTTTTTTTTGTATGTGGTGCCCAGACTGAAAAACAGTATTCAAGGTTAGACCTGACCATCGATTTATATGCCAAAGATTTTGTTTCTTCATTTTTTATCTGCAAATTTCTTTTTAAGAAACCCAATATCTTATTCGCCTTAGAAGTTATATTATTGATATGTGGTTCCCAGGACATGTTGTAGGATAATGTTATGCCTAAATATTTTGCTGTCTTTATAGATTCTAGTGTGTGTCCTTTTAAATTATAATTATATTTTATTGGTGTGCGAGATCTGGTGATACTGAATGAACTACATTTTTGAGGATGAAATTGCATTCCCCAGACATGTTCCCAATTAGCTAAGGAGTCGAGATCTTTTTGAAGGATTACACAGTCATTTTGATTATGAATGGGTCGATAAAGGATGCAGTCATCGGCAAAGAGCCTTGTTTTAGATGTAACAGATGATGGTAAATCATTTATAAAAATTAAAAATAGAAGGGGCCCAAGGACTGACCCTTGAGGAACCCCACTGACCACAGGCATTGGACTGGATACCTCACCATCAAGGACAACCTGTTGTACTCTGTTGCTGAGAAAAGCAGAAACCCACCTCCAGGTGTTACCACGTATCCCATAATTATCCAACTTCCTCAGCAACTTCTGGTGAGGCACCTTATCAAATGCCTTTGAGAAATCCAGAATGATCAGATCAGTCTGAGTATTTGAATGTAAATTTTCCAGTAAGTAAGTAGCTGAGTTTCGCAACTTCTCTTAGCTCGAAATCCATGTTGGCAGTCTACTAAAATATCATGTTGGTCTAAATGGTTCAAGACGTTTCTGACAACTATATGTTCTAATAGTTTACAACAAATACATGTTAATGAAACAGGTCTGTAATTACTTGCCAAATATTTTCCCCCTTTTTTGAATATAGGAATAACATTAGCTTGACGCCAGTCTGCAGGTACCTCCCTTTGCCAGTGAAATGTTAAAAATGTGTGCAAGATGCGGAGCAAATTCAAATGCTGGTTTCAGAATACGAGCTGGTATTTCATCTGGCCCTGTCGCTTTACTAGGATCTAAGTTATCTAGTAATTTTTGTGTATCATTTACAGTTATGTGTATTTCTTGCATAGACGGATAATTGTCATTCAATTGTGGTATCTGTTCATGTTCATTTTCAGGTGTGAAAACTGAATGGTATTATTTATTAAGAATTTCTGCTTTATGTTTAGTATCATCAATAAGTATCCCTTCAGATCTTAAAAGGGCTACTCCTGAACTGTCTTTTTTGGTATTGCTAATATAATTCCAAAACTTTTTCTGTTTTTGTGATGTCTCTATGTTTTCATCATAACAAATAATATTCTCCAAATAAGTCCAATATGCTCTCCTTGTTTCCCTTTGTAAATGTTGTTTTATGTCTTTATATTTCTTGGTGCTTGTGCTGTTTGTGTGTTTTTCATATTTTTAAAGAGTTTGTTTCTTTTTCTAATTAGTGATTTAATTTTCCTATTTATCCAAGGCAACCTTTTTTTTGAATTGTTTATCATTTTAGTTGGGATGTTTTCGTTCATGATATCCAATACTTTAGTTCTAAATTGATCCCACAGAAAGTCTATATTCTGATCTTGTAATGGATTTTGACTGGTTATGTTCATGTTTTGTATATTCTCTTTGATTTTCTCTATGTTTGCTTTATTGTAGAGATAGATTTTCCTAGGTGGTTTTTTAACTTTTCTTGGTTTTAAGCTAGCTTCTATATACACTATTTCATGGTCGGATATGCCAGGTATTACTTCTACTTTGTTCACAAGGGAACTGTTGGAGGTGAAGAAAAGATCAATTGTTGATTGTGATGTAGCTGTTATATGTGTTGGTTTAGTAACAACTTGTTCAAGATAAAAATCTATAACGCCAGTTACCTTTTTGTGATCTTTGATATTAAATCTTGCAAAAAATGTTTTCTTTTTGTCTTTTATGTGCGTTAGTATATTTAGGAAATGCAATTATTTCTTCTTTAATGTGAATTCTTAACAAAAGAAGAGAACAACACCATCTTGGGTCTTTCCTTTAAGCGCTCTGCCGGAAAGACCCGAGAAGACCATTTATTTTTAATCTGATTAAAATCAGATCCTTTGATCCGCTCACAGAGATCGCTACACAAGGATCGGAAGAATGATTTAATTTATTATAACTGGGCGAGATTTTAGATATGCATATTTTTTCATTGGGAAATATTAGTACTAAAAATTATGAAAAAGATTTCTAGTCGGAACAGATAATGGAGAATAAAGTACAAAAATATCAAGAGAATGTAAATTGATACCAAAACTTGAATTTCCCGGTAATGTTTCTGTCTTTCAAAAATTTCTATGCATCAAATTCCTATGATGTCGGCAAATTCAGAGCTAAATATCGTGTATTGCAAAAAACATAATATTTGCTGTTTTAAATCAGGAGTGGGTGGGAGGGGGACAACCAGTGCCTCATATCACCCCTCACAAAATTAAGAAAGTCTTGATAAAATAAATCCTATAAGACCCACCACCACCACCACCCAATAAACTTTATGGGAAGTCCAGTGGTGATTTTGACTGAATCGGGCTGCAAGAGGAGAAGTAAATTGTAACATACTTCAAGACACATCCACATTGTCCGAACTTTTCATAATCAAAACCAACAAATTAATTACAGGGGCGCATCCTGGAAATTCCACGGGGGCGGGGGGGGGGGACGGGGGTGGGGGTGGGGGTGGGGGGTTGAAGCCTATACTTTTTTAAAATGTTAAATGACAACAGGAACCAACGTTGGGGCGTGGAGATTTTCCACTTCCACGTGTTCCCTACTATAACATTTTTTACGATTAAAACAAAAGAAAGTGTCCAACACGAAACACTTACTTCGTGTGTGTTTCGAGCAGATTTAATAAAAGTTTGCTATATATACGGTATTAATCTTTGAAAAAAAAAATGGCTTAGTTAAAAGTCAAAGGCAGATCCAGCGCTGGCGCGCCGCTCCCATCTCCATTTGATTTTTTTTTGTTGTTGAAATTTTGTTTGTATAACAAGCATTTACCTTCAGTTTAGTCCAGTTTAGTACATAAATTACTACCCCCACCCCCCCCCCCCCCCGTTATGAAATTCCTGGATCCGCCACTTAACATGCTTAAAGTCACCACTAATACATCTTGCACATGCAGTTTCAAATGACTGATAGGGGTTCGCAGGCCAGGTAAATTTGAAGGCGGTGCTTATTTTCTATCCTTTTAATAGGTGCTGGTTAACGAGTTGGGAGGGGTTGTGGACTTTAAAAAATTAAACGACAACAAAAACTTGTAATATTTGTAGGTACTATGAGTTTTAGAGCAATTTTTTTTCCAAACATATTGCCTAAATGGGCGATAGCCCCCGACCCCAATCCACCACTGCTTAATTATTGCAGAATGCTATACATGTAAGTCTACTTTTACCAGTTGTTAACTTTAACAAGTTTAATAATGCTTTGTGGTGATATTAAGGAACTTAGAGTGAAAGTATTGAATGCATATAAGAAATTCGTCTTCATGTCTATGTATTTCTGTATTATTAAATCGAGGTAGGTCTTCGTCATTGTTTCAGGAATGTAAATCGAACGTAGCCAACTTTTCACACATCACGTGACAGGAACCCTGTATTTAAACAAAGCGATTACTGTAAATAGTGATCTGTATGATTTGTTTTGCCTAGAAGCGAGAGGCGATCCTTTTTAAATTGCAGATACTGAAATAGTCGTCAAGTGTAAGTATTTTTGTGATTGAGATATTGGACATAGGTTCACGGTCATAATAAACTTACTGACGCCAGTGACGGGCACAAAGTGAAACTACATTGTAACTTGTTTTCTTCTCCGTTGTCATTCAAGATTTGAGATTTATTGAGATCAATATTTATACTGAAATTGATACTGTATAAATGAATCAGAGATCGTATTTGAGATATTGCATATGTTATTTAATTCATTATTTTTGTCTAGCCTAAATCATATTGCTATACAAGTGTGTGAATGTGGGAGGGATGGAATCGCCAATCCTTTAGAAAAAAAAATTAGGGCCTACGACTAACAAAAGAGACATTGTCCTTGTTATGTTAAATTTTTTCAGCATCCTTTTCGACTGCTAAGATGGCTGCTTCTGTTGCAGTCAGCCAAACTCAACAGCAGCGGAATGTTGGTGGTAAGCAAAGAATGCTGTCCCATTTGGAGAGCAATAAGGAGAACCTGCCATTTGAGATGCAGTCCACTAAAAAGGAAAATCATTTGGAAAGGATGGATGTCAGTCCCTTAAACAGAGGGGAGGTCAAAGGCAAACATCTGTCACAGGTAAAAGGAAATCAGGAGAAAATAAGAAATAATTGAACAATATGTGCCCCTGTATAGCAAAAATAAAAAGGGTCGATTTTTAAATTTAGAATGTCTGTTATGATACTGAGAAATATGAGTTATCTGTACTTATCAGAGGTAGCCACAATACTAAGTTTTATTACATAGACAAAAGGTTCTAAAGACCTTTGACCTTGTGACCTCAATATCAATAGAGTTGATCAACTCCTTGGGGGAGGGACCAATTCTTATTTCTGTCAAGCAAAAGGTTCTCAAGATATTGAGCTGATGATCATATTCTTATGTCCAGAGTAGTTAAATCCCTGGCCTATGACCTTTGATCCAAAAATAAATAGGTATCATCTGCTTCTGAGAGTATACCAGTGAACCAAGTTTGATGTCTGTCATGCCAAGGGTTCTCAAGATTTTGAACAGACAATATCATCCTTTGGCCGGAGTAATTTAATCCCTGAACTTTGATCTAAGGGTGCATCTAGATTGATATCTGTCATGTCAAGCATTAATTCACATTTTGGATATTAAGCAGACAGTGTGGTACAGGTAGTGTAAGATACACGGCATCCTACTAGCTTGGGCTAGTGGGTTAACCCTTTAGCTCAGTCGGTAGAGCACTGGACCTGGATGCCAGAGGTACTTGGTTCAATTCCAAGCTTAAAGGCATATACACATCTCTGTTACAAATGCCTTCCTGTATACCGAGTAGCTGACCTTTAACTCTGTGAACTCAAAATCAAATAGGGATCATCTATCCTTAGTGGGTACCAGTGAACCAAGTTTAATGTCTTGCAAGCGAAGGGTCCTTAGGGTATTGATTGGACAACACGTGGTCTACTATCTACCATACTGACCTACTGTTGCAAACCTCTTTTTGTCAAAGGGAGACATAAAATTCAAAGAAGAAAATAGATGTATGTCAATTTATGATTAAACCCTGTTAAAGGCCATGACAGTGTGAAATGAAAGGAATTACATCTTATATGTAATTATATCTTAGAAAACAGGAAATTTAAAACCAAAAAAAAAATACCCGGTACCTATACAAGCATAGCAGTTGAATAATTTTGTATCAGGTCACAAGATGAAAGAAAAACACTTATTACAGTCAAAAAGAGATCATTCAAAGAATGTAAAATTGGTTTAACAGGGAAAATTTTTAGGTCAACATCTTCAATGGTAAGGACAGGTCAAACAAACTATCACATATAAGAAAATATCTGTTCATTTAGAATTGCTCATGTCACAGTTACCAAAAATTATATGTATATATGGAAATGTCTGCCATATGTAGAGGTACAGTATGTTGGAATTGTGGTGGTGGTCACAGGTGGGTGTAATGAATGATCAAAAGTCATACTGAAATATATACCTTATTGGAGGTAGTTAACAACCTTTTATAAGGAGGAGGGGTCAGGGGGCTTTACTTATTAAATATTATACATATTTTGTGTTTTTTGGTTGTAGGTATATATAAACCAAGAAGTATTATTCAGGATTTTTTTCAGCTATTTAGAAAAGTTTTATCCAAATTTCTTTACACCACTTGAAAGTCATGTTGTGACAAGTTAAAGCTATATATGGCGTATCTGAGCTAAAAAAACAAAAAAAACCGAAATTATGAGTAGATGAACATGATATTTGTTGTTTACATTCAGATTAAAATTTTCACCAATTTTGAACTTGAATAACCCCACGTTTCTATAGTTAAATTGACTTTAAACTGTGTCTGATATTTAAATGCGGAGTCACTAAAAAAAACGGTTATTGTTTTAAATTTTTAATATCTATGAAACGCAATTGATTTAAATTGTGTAATTTACGGGAAAGTCACATCTTTATATAAAGTAATGACACAAATAGAAAGATCTTTTTAATTTTAGTTAGTCTGAACTTATCAAAAATATGCCATGTATGACTTTAATTTATAATTAAAAAGAATTATTGTTACTTTCATGTGAATAAGATGTAATAACCAAATGTACTTTATGTCAAAGGTTAAATATGATATGTTCAACAGAGTGACAAGGTCAAGGAGAAAGTAGCACTGAGGGACAGAATCAATGCCCAGCAGTACAGCAAAGGAGGAAACCAGAAGGTCAAGGCCACATCAGGTAAGCCTTACAACTTATTTAAAGTCGAGAAATTGTCTGGTAAATTTTTTAAGCTACATGTATCCATTATCAGGTCACAACAAAAGAAAAATATTGAAGGCTTTTAATCATTCAACCTAAAAGGAAAAAAATAAGAAAAAGAGAAAACTTAAAAAAGAATCCAACTTTATTTAGATGATCATGATAAGTATACATGTGCTAGCTATTTTATTGATGGTAAAGTTCAAATAAAACAAGCATCAAGTTCACATCAAACAAACATCTGTATATTTTATCTTATGATAAAAACAAGATATTTTGTATTATATGATAAATATCATTTCCTGGTTGTAACATTGTACATTGCTCCATCTTCAGTACTTCAGAAATGTTTGATAGTTTAATAAGAATTGGATACATAGGCTTAGTAATTCATTGGTTAAAGTACCAGCATGGTTAGCAAGTCCTTGTTTGGCACACTCTTTTTCTGCTGGTTACTTTTTGACAACAAAAAAATACAAGTGGTTTATTAGAACTTCACTGTTCTCTGGGAGGAAAGTATCATGGGAGATATTGGGGTACCTATAATAACATTTCTGTGCTTTACAATTTATCATTGAATTTACTCAGCATCCTGGAGCAAGTCCATTCCCAAGTAACTATAAGCCTACCTCGATCAAACTTGCATGGATGATGCATCTAGGGATGGACACTACCACACTTGCTTTGGATGCTGGATTTGACCTAGATTTTCCACATGAGTGACCATGTTAAAGTTTTTGGAGCAGGTCCATTCCTAAGTAACTATAAACCCTATCTGGACCAAACTTGCATCGATGATGCATCTAGGGATGGACACTACCACCACACTTGCTTCGGAAGCTGGACCAAACTTGTTTCAATGATGCATCTAGGAATGGACACTCCACACTTGCTTCAGATGCTGGATCTGACCTAGATTTTCCACATGAGTGACCAGGTTAAAGTTTTTGGAGCAGGTCCATCCCCAAGTAAATATAAGCCCTACCTTGACCAAACTTGCTTCGATGATGCATCTAGGGATCGACACTACCACACTTGCTTCAGATGCTGGATCTGACCTAGATTTACCACATGAGTGACCAGGTTAAAGTTTTGGAGCATGTCCATTCCCAAGTATATATAAGCCCTACCTGGACCAAACTGGCATCGATGGTGCATCTAGGGATGGACACCAGACTTGCTTCGGATGCAGGATCTGGCCTAGATTTTCCACATGAGTGACCAGGTTAAACTTTTTGGAGTATGTCCATTCCCAAGTAACTATAAGCTCTACCTTGACCAAACTGGCATCGATGATGCATCTAGGGATGGATACTGCCACACTTGCTACGGATGCTGGATCTGACCAAGCTTATCCAGATGAGTGACTAGGTTAAAGTTTTTGGAGCAGGTCCATTCCCAGGTAACTTTAAGCCCTACCTTGACAAAACTTGCATGGATGATGCATCCAGGGATGGACAGTACCACACTTGGATGCTGGATCTGAGCTAGATTTTCCATATGAGTGATCAGGTCAAATTTTGGAGCAGGTCCATTCCCATGTAAATATAAGCCCTACCTGGCCCAGACTTTCATGGATGATGCATCTAGGGATGTACACTACCAGTGTGAGACTTGCTATAGATGCTAAATCTTACTTACATTTTCCAGATGATTGAACATAAATTTTTTTAGAGCAAGTCCATTAAATCCTAACCAGACCAAAATTGCATAAATTTTGCATCTATGGATGCACACTACCAGAACATTTGTTTGGTATCAGACTTTGCCTTAACTCATAGACAACGTCATTGAGATGAGTTCTGTAATTTTTGATTTCCTATGTTTTGGGGTTGTTTTCTTTTTTTGTCTGCAGATTCATTATGGGCCAAAAAAGGAGGATTATTGAAGAAGGGGAAGTCCCTTCAGAAGGCTGTGTTTAGTGTCAACAACCCAGAGCCCCTGGCTGTAATGGATGATGGTGAGTGGGTGTTTGTCTGCATCCAACATTCCTCTTTAACATCTATATGGGCTGGGGGAATGGGGATAATATTAAGGGGCACACACTATAAAGAACTATTATACAAAAAAAACTCAATCATTGAATTCCAGAATGTTATTTTTTTCGCAGATTCACATTCAAACATGTTTTTGACTGTTTATAGACTTCCTACCCATGGACATTGATTTTGTTGACCCTTTAGAAAAAATCCGTGAAGTCCAGGTGAAGATCCCAAAAGAAATCCAGGAAATTCAGAACAAACTTGAGGGTCCATTCAACAATCCTGACTATGCAGAGGATATATATGAGTACCTTCAAGTAAGCAATTGCCTCTATCAGAAACAAAACATTCACATCAAAACTCTTATTAGCCATGTAGTTTGAATCAGAGTATCTGCATATTAAATTTGTGTTTAATAGCGATTCTCTGTAACCACTTAAACTTCTTTGCCACGCATGGTCACTGATTTTGATGAAACTTTGCCCATTATTACAACTTGACACCAGAAACATATATCAAACAAAATTTCGTTGCTATGTGTCTTGGTTGCCATGGTAACAGCCAGAAAAGTTGAAAAAATTGAGATTTTCAGCTACTTTCAATCTTTATTAAGCCTTAATAAAGACTAAGAAAAACAAACAAACCATTCTCACAAAAGCATGACACCTTGTTGCCACTTATGCTATAAAGAAACTATTTAGAATTTATCTCTAAGTAAGTGGTAACCATGGGTACATTTGGAATACATTTTAGATGCTGAAAAATGCTGAAAAATGCTCAATATTCACAAATGATAGATGTTACATGATCAAACTCAATCAACAACTTAAGAAAAACAATAAAAAATATATGACCTTAAGTAATCAGGTATTGGGAATATTATTCTAAAAATAAATTTCATGGTTGCCATGGTAACACAGTGTTACCATGCAAAATCTGTTGCTATGATTGGGTTAATGCTACTATCTTGAGGAAAAACAATAAAATTCATGACGGGCACATACACATCCTTAGGACTTTGCAACACCGACAACATAAGAAAAATTGGAATTAATTGTTTTTCTGTAGTGTTACCATGGAAACAACATACTAGTTGTTTAAAGTGATATATTTTTGCTGCTTTAGGAATTTACTTACCATTTAATCAAGAAACATACTATTTGACTAACCTCTAATAGTACTTATCTGGTAGAGCTAAAGTTGAATATCATATATTGATAAAGTTTGTTGAAAAATACAACACTGTTGCTATGGTTACCAAGAAGTGAAAATGTTCGATTTTTATGCCCCGCCATGAATATGGCCGGGGCATATAGTGTTTGTCATGTCCGTCTTCCGTCCTTCCGTCCTTCTGTCCTCCCGTCCTTCCGTCTGTCCTTCCGTCACACTTTGCGTTTAGCTCTGTTCAAAGCTCAGTTTCAAAGAAACTATCCAAGATATTTTTATCAAACTTCATATGCTGATAGATATTGATGAGGGCTATGCAACTGCATCAACATTTTTTGACCTTGACCTTTCCTTTGACCTTGACCTCACTTTTCTTAAATTAGTGTTTAGCTCAGTTTTAAAGATACCATTCAAGATAGTGTAATCAAACTTCATATGTTGATACATACTGATGTAAGCTATTCAATTGCATCAACATTTTTTTGACCTTGACCTTTATTTTGACCTTGACCTCACTTTTCTTAAATTAATGTTTAGCTCTGTTTTAATGAAACCATTCAAGATATTTTTAACAAATTTCATATGCTGATACATACTGATGAGAGCTATTCAACTGCATCAATATTTTTTACCTTGACCTTTCCTTTGACCTTGACCTCACTTTTCTTAAATAAGTTTTTAGCTCAGTTTTAAAGATACCATTCAAGATAGTGTTATCAAACTTCATATGCTGATACATACTGATGAGAGCTATTCAACTGCATCAACATTTTTTGACCTTGACCTTTCCTTTGACCTTGACCTCACTTTTCTTAAATTAGTTTCAAACTTCATATGCTGATACATACTGATGAGAGCTATTCAACTGCATCAATATTTTTTGACCTTGACCTTTCCTTTGACCTTGACCTCACTTTTCTTAAATTAGTGTTTAGCTCAGTTTTAAAGAAACCATTCATAATATTTTCATCAAACTTCATATGCTAATACATACTGATGTAACCTTTTCAACTGCATCAACATTTTTTGACCTTGACCTTTCCTTTGACCTTGACCTCACTTTTCTTAAATTAGTGTCAAACTTCATATGCTGATACATACTGATGAGAGCTATTCAACTGCATCAATATTTTTTGACTTTGACCTTTCCTTTGACCTTGACCTCACTTTTCTTAAATTAGTGTTTAGCTCAGTTTTAAAGAAACCATTCATAATATTTTCATCAAACTTCATATGCTAATACATACTGATGTAACCTTTTCAACTACATCAACATTTTTTGATCTTGACCTTTCCTTTGATCTTGACCTCACTTTTCTTAAATTAGTTTCTGAATCAAACGTCATATGCTGATACATACTGATGTAAGCTATTCAACTGCAGCAATATTTTTTGACCTTGACCTTTCCTTTGACCTTGACCTCACTTTTCTCAATTTGTGTTAAAATGTTGCATTACTCATATACCCTTGGCGGGGCATTCATGTCCTATGGACATATTTCTAGTGTTAATTTTATATTAATAATAAACCCTATGTGCCAGCTTTTTGCATCCAGTTAGTGATTGGGTGGTAGTCAAAATTGAAAGTCAGGTTAGTTGTTCATAAATATCAATCATAAAAGTTTTGGGAATCTACATACAAGGGCATGTATCCAAGGAAACATAATATTTTTCACATTTTTATGCATATTTTTTCGGCTAATTTCCATAGCAACGCTCTATTTAAAGAATTAAATTTGAAATTTTTGAAATGTGAAAATTAGGGTCACACCAACGCCTGTAAAAATTGATCATCAGTTATATAGAAATATGTTTTTTAAAAAGATAGGATAAGATTGAAAACCTAAGAGAACAAATTAAAAATCCCTTCGTAGTATTAAAACTATGGCAACCATTGCCAACCCAAAAGAAATATCATACTTCAACCTTGGCATATGTTTCAAGGATCTTTTGTCTATTATTTGCTTGCATTTCTAGCTATAATTGTTTTTCTTCTTAAGTGTATGACTTTTTAAAATTAAATGAACAGAATTATTACTTTTGAATACTTTGTTTCCATAGTAACGTATATAATAGCTGGTTTACCAAACATGTTTATCAAACATTTAAGACATCAGACCTTCAACTTTCAGAAACAGTCATTGCCACTTCTTTGCTTTGCCGCAAACGTTAATTGTGGGACTCTGAACATGTTGAAAAATGCCATTTTTCAAACTTTAGGACGTGTTGCTATGGAAACCATGACACATAGCAACCAATTTTTGCCTGATTTGAGTTTAAGGTATCAAAGACTTTTATCATAGAGAGTTTGGAGAAATTCTGAGACTATACGTGCCACAGCTCCTATATAAAAGTTCAAGTCATTACAGAGAATGGCTCTTAAACACCATAATATGAAAATATTCTCTCAAGATTCTAAGGCCAATATGAAGTGTTAAGGTAATGGTGGTTCAAAAAAGAAATTCAATCCTGAAACCACAACAAATGTATTAAAATAGTTCCCTTTCCCTATTTTATATGATTTGCACAGCAGAGAAAATTATTGGTTACTGAACATGTAAATATAAAAAGTAAAGAGTAAGAATGTATAATTTATTGAATATTGATATAATTTATGATGTTGTGTTTTCTGTATCAGTTCCTGGAGAGAAGATTTATCTACCCTGATAACTTTCTAAACAACAGTGGGGAAGTTACCCCTCAGATGAGGAGCATACTGACAGACTGGTTCATACAAGTCCAGGTATCCACAAACTGACACACTGGTTCATACAAGTCCAGGTATCTGCATTCTGACAGACTGGTTCATAAAAGTCAAGCTATCCACATACTGACAGTCTGATTCGTAGAAGTTCTGGTATCCACATACTGACACTGACTGGCTCATACACATCCAGGTATCTACATACTGACAGACTGATTCATACAAGTCAAGTTATCCACAAACTGAGATACTGGTTCATACAAGTACAGGTAACCGTATCCATATACTGACAGTATGGTTCACACAAGTCCAGGTACATCTGTCGTGTGTTATGTGTTGTCTGTAAACTTTTCACATTTTCAACTTCTTCAGAACCACTGGGCCAATTTCAACCAAACTTACCCACAAAGCATTCATGGGTGAAGGGGATTCAAGTTTGTTCAATTAAAGTGCAACACCCTCTTTTAAGGGGAGATAGTTAAGAATTCATGAAAATTTGGTGGCATCTTTTAAAAATCATCGTCTTAAAAACCACTGGGCCAGAAAAGATGAAACTTATGTGAAAGCTTCATTGCATACTGTAGATTCAAATTTGTTCAAATCATGACCCAAGGGGATAGGTTGGGGCCACAATGGCAGATTAAAGTTTTACATAGGAATATATAGGAAATATATTTCAAAATCTTCTTCTCATGAACAGCAAAGCCATTACCAGTCATATTATTACAGAAACTTCCTCAAGTAGTGTAGACTCAAGTTTGTTCAAATCATGAACCCTGGGGGTAGGGTGGTGCCACAACAGGGGATCAAAGTTATGCATACTAATATGTAGGAAATATCTTTAAAATTCTTTATCTCAAGAACAGCAAAGCAATGGTCAGTAATATTTACAGGAAATCATTCTCAGACAGTATAAATTCAAATTTGTTCAAAACATGGCCCCTGGGAGTAGGATGGGGCCATAATGGGCAATCAAAGTTTTATAGAGGAATACATAGGAAAAAATCTTTAAAAGTCTTCTTCTCAGGAACAGCAAAGCCATGATTACTCGTATTTATATGCAAGCATCCTCAGGTGGTGTATATTGAAGTTTGTTCAAATCATGACCCCATGGGTAGGGTGAGGTCATAATATGTGAGCAAAGTTCTACATAAGAATATGTAGGGAAAAATCTGCTGATGAAGAACAGAAGAGCCATAGTTACTCAGGTGAGCATTGTGGCCCATGGTGCTCTTGTTTGTTGTATATTTACATTCTGTTTTAATTTTTAAAAAAAGAAATTTCACATTTTTTTCTAAAATTAATAATGGTTCTTTTTTTTAGCTCACCTAAACTGAGAGCTCAAGTGAGCATTTCTGATCACATTTTGTCTGTCTTCCCTCTGTCCTTCTGTCAACTATATTCACATTTTTGACTTCTTCTCCAGAACCACTGGGCCTATTTCAACCAAACTTACCACAAGGCATCCTTGGATGAATGGGGATTCAAGTTTGTTCAGGGCTTCTTTCAAGGGGAGATAATTATCAAGAATTTGTGAAATTTTGGTGGCATCTTTTAAAAGACTTCTTCTCAAAAACCAGAAAAGATGAAACTTATGTGAAAGTTTCATTATACTGTAGATTGAAATTTGTTCAATTCATGATCCAGGGGGGTAGGGTAGGGCCACAATGGCAGAATAAAGTTTTACATAGGAATATATAGGAAAAAAATCCTCAAAAATCTTATTCTCAAGAACAGCAATGCCATGATTAGTCATATTGATTTGGAAGCATCCTCAGGTAGTGTAGATTCAAGATTGTTCAAATCATGACTCCCTGGGGTTGGATGGGGTACAATAGGGGATCAAGCTTTTACAGAGGAATGTATAGATTAAAAATGTTTTTCTCAAGAACAGCAAAGTCATGATTAGTCCTATTGATATGGAAGCATCCTCAGGTAATGTAGACTCAATTTTTCCATAATCATGACCTGTGGGGTAGTGTTGGGCCACAAAGGGGGAATCAACATTTTACAAAGGAATATATGGAAGAACATCTTTAAAAGTCTTCTTTTCAAGAATAGCAAAGCCGTGATTACCCATGGCAAAGTGGAAGGCAGTTATTTAGCAGTTTCTTAGCTTTAACCATTTGAACTTTTTAGCAGTTCTGGAGCAGTTACTTAACCTTCCCTAGACTGCTAATGGATAAACAAATTGCTTTCAATCCTTTTGTAATCTATAAGCAGTTTTCTTAGACTTACCAGTTCGTAACCAGTTCGCAAGCAGTTTACAGGCAGTTTCTTAGCAGTTAATAGGCAGTTTCTTAGCAGTTATTTAGGCAGTTTTTGCTAACTGCTAGTGGACTTCCAGTAAACTATTATATACTGCTTATCTATTTCCCTTTTACAACATAAATACTAATTAGTCAGGAGGACATTTCCTATTATCCAGCCTGAAATAATATGCAATTATAATAGATCTACCTATATCAGAAATGCTTGTTACATTTTAATTTATTGTATTTTGTACAATTGTATACCACAGTCAAACAATTAGAGATTTCTGAAATGTTTAAAAAGTATCAAACACTGTTTTATGCATCTTTTATTATAATCAGCAGTCAGGGGTGAGACTGAAATCCGTCATTTTTAAAATGACGATTTTTAGTCATAAAATAAAATTTTTATTATGACTTAAACTCATCATTTTTAAGAAAATGACGAAAAACATGCAGTCATAAAAATTTAGAGTGTTTCTAGAATACCAAGTTACCTCTCTTTGAAAAATGTTAGATCCACCAACCGAAAAAAGGACAAAAAAAACATCGTAAACAAACTTCATTTCTCTTAAATACAGTTGACTTCAATACTGGTTATGTTGACAGTACAAATTTCCCAAGCAAAAATAAGAGTGGAAGAGTTATTGGTCAATTTATTTGCATTAAATAGGAAAGAAGACGAAAATGACGATATTCTGTCTTTTTTCAAAATGGAGGGTCTGGGCGCACTGAAATATCTCGCTTGTTTTACGCGGCGCACTACTTTTTTATGGCTTTAACTTTTTGTCGAGACTTTTCTCTACAAGTACATATTCTTCCAGACGGTGTACTATATGTTTTTATAGGGCTAAAAGCCATGTAAAAATGGCAAATTAGTTCTACCAAAATTCGACATTTTACCACTTAATATTTACATTTCCAATGTCTTTGTCCGAGATAAAATTACAAATTGTAAAATACTTTATTTCTACATAAATCTACTGGTTCATCGATAGGCGGTTAAAAAAAATCACTTGCGGGGCGGGACAAATAGAGACAGAAGCGGGGCTATTAGCATGGGAATTTGCAGAATCAGGAGCATGTAAATATAAGGAATAACTGTCAGATTTTTTGGATTCATGATGATGATCAATCGATTGGCTTGCGTGATAATTTTATGCATAAATGCCTTCGGCGTTTATGCAAATTATCACGCAAGCCACTCGATTGATCACATCATGAATCCAAAAAATTAGACAGTTATTCCTTAAGTAATAACTTTCACCTTCCATGTTGATGTTCTAATGCACGTGGTCGGCAGTAATTAGTGACCCAGATGAAATGAAACTTGCGTAAACACTCTTCTTTCAGCGGTGAATTCAAATTTCGCTTTTATGTAACCAGGATAGAAGAATTAAGTTGAAAAAGAAAATATGACGATAGTAAGTCATATTGACAAAAATGACGAAAATACGTAGTTAGTAAATATGACGATTATCCATCATTTTTCAGAAATGATGGATTTCAGTCTCACCCCTGACTGCTAAAGTACAGCAAATATTCACTTTATCCAAACACCACAAGGCCACAAATCAATAAATATATTGTACTTACCAATTGTTAAATGTCTACATCATTATTTCAATAAATCTAAAGCTTTGTGGCCAGCAGGCTCCCTCTTCATGATGCTTTATAGCATTTGTCCAACAATACAACATGGCAGCCAAAAATTGAATTTTGGCGGCCTGTTGTTGGGTTCCTGTTGTTTATATTTGTTGATCATTGAGCCCAACATTAAAATTTCTCTTGAACCCAAACAAATTGTACAAGGAAACTGCTCACAAACTGCTTACAAAACTGCTTAGGAAAACTGTCTTCTTCTCAAGCATAGGCGACCAAGATATAACTGCTAGGGAAACTGATTACTGCATGCTTAAAAACTGCTAAGGAAAACTGTTTACTCCAAAGGCACTAGCAGTCACAAAAGAACAGAAAAAGCCAAACTGCCCGAAACTGTTTGAAAACTGCTTAAAATTTTCAAAACTGCTAAAGAACTGCCTAATAACTGCCTATATAGGAAGTTCACTTTTCCATGGGTAGTCATATTGATATGGAAGCATCCTTAGGTAGTGTAGATTGAAGTTTTTTTTTCAGATCATGAGTCCTTGGGGTGGGGTGGGGCCACAATGGGTGATCAAAGTTTCACATAGGGATATATAACAAAATAAAATCTGCTGCTGAGGAACAGCAGGGCCATATTGACTAATTGAGCATTATGGGCCTCTAGATATTGTTTAGTTACGGACTTTTACACCTCCTGCTAGATCTTCCAAGTTGTTAAGGATGGAAAGCATATGAAATGTTCTAATACACTTACTGTTCTAACTCTACCATTCTACGCTCTTGTATACTTACATATACACTCTGTTTTCAACAGTTCTGATGCTATATTTGTCATTTGTAAAAGTCTTTGATGTGTTAGGTTCACCAGGAGCTATCCCAGCAGACCTTGCACCTGACTGTCGAGTTAGTGGATCGATTCCTCACTTTTCGCAGAATTCCTCTTAACACATTCCAACTTGTTGGCATCACATGTCTTCTGATTGCTGCTAAGTACAATGAAAGATTTGCCCCAGAGGTGGGTACTTTGTGTTCAATTCTCAATTTATTAATTTATTTAAGGATATTGCTTAAGTTGTCATAAACAAACATGATAAATCAAAACTAATGTCTTTCACATGAATGTCATCAACAATTTGGTGACAATTTTTTCTATCAAGATGACTCCAGTAGTCAAATATCTTGAGAAATATACAGTCACAACTATAATGTTGTTTTTCATTACGTGCCTCAAGATTCTATGACATTAGCAAAACTTACTGAGACTTTTAGGTTTATTTTATAAACAGGTGCAGACCCTATGTTACCTGACCGATAACACATATGACAAGGAACAAGTCCTAAGAATGGAGAGACAGATCCTAAAAACAATTGACTTTGACCTCAATATTGTGGATGTCACTGTTTTTATGGACAAACTCCTCCTGATTGAGAGTGACCTGCCAAAAGAGGTAGGACATCAGGGAAATATGGGGTTTGTTGGGTTTATATTTATTAAGCTAAGCCTATAAATCTAATTAGTAACTAAAATGAAGATTATCAAACAATGCAAAGAAATGCAAAGAAAGGGTTCTCATTAAAGCAGTTTTACAGTAATACTGAGTCTAGTGCTGAACAATATATAAGTATCTTCACTTAGTTCTCAGACAAATGACTCTCAAGCATTTTGTGTAAGATATTCATCACACATTTTTATTATGCCCTGGTAACTTTTGATTGGTTGGAGCTATGGCATTTATATTTCACATGTGTATTCCTTGACAAGACCTTTCTTTGGATACCATCATATTTGACCTTTTGACCTTGACCTTTGAGTTTGACTCAGTTTTTTGCAAAATTTTACCCAACTTTAATCTTGACCATAACTTTTGAACAGTTGAAGCTAGGGCTTTCATACTTCACATGTATAATTCTTGAGAGAAGACATTCCTTTAAATACCAACAACTTTGACCCTTTGACCTTGACCAAGGAGTTTGACCTTATTTTGAAAAACTTTAACCTTAGCCATAAATTTTGGACTGTTGGTGCTACATGTAGGGCTTTCATATTTCACATGTGTAATCCTTGTGACAATACCTTCCTTTGGATACCAAGAACTTTGACTCTTTGACCTTGACCTTGGAGTTTGACCTACTTTTTGAAAACTTTAATCTTGGCCATAACTTTTTAACAGTTAATGCTAGGGATTTTATACTTCACATGTGTATTCCTTGTGACAAGACCTTTACAGTGTTACCTCGCTATATTGCCAACTTTTGTCCAAGACAGATTTTGGCATTAAAGCGAGGGTGGCAATATAACGAGTGCTGTCATAAATTAGAATGCAATGAGCCTACCTGAAGCCAATCAAAACAAAATGAATACGTATTAATTATTTCAGTTACAATCAAATGTCATGCTTGTGCACATGTGTACATGCATGTATATTTAAGCACATCTTTCATTTCTTTCGGAAAAAGTCATTAATTTGTTTACAAAAATTTTGACTAAATTGAAATGAAAATCTGAGGATATTGAAACACTTATGAATTTTCTAATCTTACGCTCTTTTGTCATGGTCCAAATCTTAAGAATTTCTTAATAAGTTAAAACGTACATGTCTAAATCTTCATGAAGCTAACATAGTATACATGTATCAATTCTCACATCTGCTAGTACCTGAGTACTTTCTCTTCCCATTCTGTTTGATATTGAAACAGAATACGAAGCTATTTTCACGTGTGTGGTATTATAGTAGTCTAAAAATAGAGATGGGTTTTCCTTTCAATCTATAGATGATGGCCTGTTGATCTAAGTGGACAAAAATGAATTTTTGCATTTATTATGGTTAGGTGAATTATCTGTGATAAGCAAATATCGAAGTTTAAAAAAAATGTTGTACAATTATTTTTTTTATCTAAATTTGTTTGCTTTCTCTTCTCAAATTTTTCCATATTTGTGATGAAATAATACTGCCATCTTTTAAAAACAACACCAAGACATTGCTAATTTTGAGTTTTATACAACAATTATCTTTAATTTAGCTGAATTCCTTGTTCAGTCAGTCACACTTCATGCAACCACTGTCAAAGCATGGGTGTGTTGTCCAAATTACCGACACGCGCTAGATAATTGGCATTGTTACCGAGGGTTTTCCTTATATAATTTAAACTTTTGTTTCCCAAAACCTGTGGCGGATGGCAATAAGCGGGGTTGGCAATATAACGGGTGTATTAACACAGGGGAAAATCCGTTCTTGGAAATTTCCTGGCAATAAGTGAGGGTGGCAATATAACGGAGGGCAATATACCGAGGTAGCACTGTATTTGGATACCAACAATTATAGCCCCTTGACCTTGACCTTGGACTTCTTTTGGAAAACTTTAACATTGGCCATTACTTTTGAACAGTTGTTGTTGGGGCATTCATACTTCACGTTTGTAATCCTTACTTTGGATACCAACAACTTTGACCTTGGAGTTTGACCTACTTTTGAAAAACCATAACTTTTGAATGATTGGTGCTAGGGCCTTCATATTTCATATGTGCATTTCTTGTGAGAAGGCCTTTCCTTGGGCACCATTAACTTTGACCTTGATCTTGATGTTTGACTTGCTTTTGAAAAACTTTAACCTTTTCCATATCTTTTCAATGGTTGCTGCTAGGGCTTTCATATTTCACAGGTATATTCCTCGAGGCAAGACCTTACTTTGGGTACCAACATATGAGGGGTGATCAAAAAGTTCACGAACTATCTCTTTATTTAAAAAACCAAAATTCAGATCAGAATGAAATTTGGCACACACATAGTCATACACATGTTCTATAAATAGCAGATATTAAATAATGTTTTGCTCCATGTGTGTGACGTCACAATGTGAAAATGACCTCAGTATGTAGGTCACTTGTGACAAAAAATGGTTGACTTAGTCGTACTCGAGCAACGAATGGCTGTAAAGTTTAATGTATATCTCGGAAATTCCTTTGCAGTAGAATATGATAATTTGTACAAGGTTTATGAAGACAAAAGACTTACCAGAAGTTCAATCAGTAATTGGATTGAATGTTTTAGTGAAGGCAGGGAGATGGTTAAAAATGATGTTTGTTCTGTTGACCAGCGAAAGCAAGCCAGTAAAAAGATGTGTCCTTAGTTGAGCAATTTGTTTTGAAAGATCACCAAGTTACAGTAAGAAAAATAGTTGATAATCTGAGCAATAATATAATTATTAAATCCCTAAAATATCGTTTACTTTATACTTCAAACATATGAGATATGAAAAAAAGAAGGCGCCCATACTTTTTCCACATTGGATAATCGACGCTCCTGAGACAGAGGACTCGGGTTGTGATGGTCACCTTGCTAATTCTGGGAAGGGATATCCTTATCCACCCATCCTATTGCCGAGATTTGGCCATTTCTGACAGATGGTCTGTTCTTGTTATAAAAAATTACTTGCATGGTAAGAAATATAAGACTCGGAAAAATCCCTTAGCTTCTGTGAACAGACCACTACGAAGCATTCACGTGACCACCTGGATCACGTGATTCGCACATGGACAGAACAATGGCAGATGTGCATTAAAATTGGAGAGGACTACTTTAAAAGTAATGAACACTGAAACCTCATTTTATTTCTTTTAAGGAAGTTATTCAACTAGTTCGCGAACTTTTTGATCACCCCTCGTATTTGATTTGCATTTGAGAAAGTTTAACCTTCAATATAAGTTGCCATACAGGGGCATCAGTGTTTCACAAACACATCTTGATCAAATAAAAAAACAGAAATTCAAATTGTATACAAAACAGCAATGCAAGTGTGTCTTTGCCCCTTTAAGAGGAAGCATCAAAATATAATTATATATGCATACATCGCTTATTGGAAAGATTCTACTTTGAAGCAAATTTAGTATATGGCAGCCTTGAAAGTGAAATATTTTACAACTGAGGATGCACACAAATAGTCATTTCATTTCCCATTGTTTACTGGAGCATTTCTAACATAGCATTGCATTAGTTCATTTTACCATATTTTACTAGTAAGAACATTTCTAACATAGGCATGCCTAACATAGGCATTAATTGGATAAGACTTCATTTTGCCATATTTTACTGGAACATTTTAACATACTGTAAAATCACTAATTTTTGTTGGGCTTTGATTTCTCTTGTTTTCATGGTATGAAGAGACCCACAAATTCATGTCCCCCACGAAATGAAACATTTCAAATATATAACAACTCAGCACCCATGAACCAATATTTTTCACTCAAACCATGAAAATTTGACCCAGCAAAAAAATATAATTTTACAGTAGAAATTGCATTGCTTCCTTTTGTCATATTAACTTAGACATCTCTGACATAGCACAAAGCATTACATGACTTTCATTTTGCTGTTTACTAGATGAGACAGATGACCAAGTATATCCTGGACCTGACCCTGGTCTCAGATGAGTTTGTCTACAGTGTGCCCTCCATGATGGCCTCAGCAGCTGTTTGTCTGGCCAGAAAGATCCTGGTCCCTGTGGAGCCCAGCTGGACTCTGGGTCTGTCCTATTTCTCTAGATATGCAGAGAAGGACCTCATTCCCTGTATGAAGAAGATGTTGAGTCTGTTGATAAAGGCTCCAGACTGCAAATTTCAGGTGAGCCGTTATAGGGATTTTATCTTTCAAAACAGTTATTATTCTATTTAAAATCAAATGAGATGGTGTACATCTTTTTCTTTCATATTCTTACATTTTTAAAAATTCTGTAAAGATAAAACTTTATTGTTATTTGTCACATGTTACTTTGCCCAAACTTTAACCTAACAGCAGGCTATATTTACTGTTGACTGGTGAAGTGTAGTATTTCAATGTTTTGCTGAAGGTCAGAGTTATTTTTTCAAGTTGAATCAAGATGATTCTTATGCAGGGTTCTCAGCATTTAGTAGATCAGCCACTCTTGTGACTGATAACAAGACCTTTTAGTGATATTGTTCTTGATTAAGTGAAAGCTGCTCTCCACAAAAGGCGGTAAATAAAATACACATGCATCCAAGTTCGATATGCACAATGTCAAATATCATTTGCACACATAATGTTTTTTATGCAGCATTCTCTGTAATGAAAAAGTACTGCTTCATTAAGGACTAACTAATGTTGGTTTCCATTTATGGGTAGACTGTAGGTCTTGTTCTCTGAATGCATGCAGTTAGAGATGGTAAGAAATATTAAGCCATTTTTTTTTTCAAATGAAAGTACATCTTAACAATTGAAGATCAATTTAACATTAATGGCAATGTTCAGTTACTCTGTCTTCTGGATAGCTCAGTGGTTTATGGAGTTGGCTTTGTAAATTGCAAAGGCTTTGGGGCCATAAAACTTAGATTAGCTCACTTTTGATTTCAGTCTCACTTTTCCATTTATTTCTTTTGTAAAATGAGACTGAGATCAAAAGTGATTTCATCTAAGTTTTATGGCCCTGGACCCAGAAGTTTTGGTCCTAAGCAGGGATTTTTTTTCTGTTGTGATTATAACATTCTGGGGTTTTTGACAAATCATGTTTGTCTACAAGTTTTTTTTTGGCCCCAGCATGCATATGACAGGGGCATATAGTGTTTAACTGTTTGTCATGTCCATCTTCCATCTTTCTCTCCTTCTGTCCTTCAGTTTTTCCATCCATCACATTTTTCATTTAGCATTTTCATTTGTTTCAAAGAAACAAAGAAAGAAATCTTTATCAAAGTTCATGTGCTGATACATTTTGGTTATTGCTATTCAACTGCATCAAAGTTTTTTGACCTCAACGTTCCCTTTGACCTTGACCTCACTTTTTAAAAAAAAAATTTACATTTAGCCCAGTTACAAAGAAACTATTCAAGATATATTTGATACATATTGGTGAGAGCTATTCAACGGCATCAAAATTCTTTTGACCTTGGCCTCCTCTTTAACCTTACTGTTATAAATTTGTGTTGTCTCAATTTCAAAGAAACTGTTCAGGATATTTTTATCAAACTTCATATGCTGATACATATTGGTGAGAGCTATTCAGCTATTCAACGGTGTTAATTTTTTAAATTTGTCCTATACTATGACCTTGACCTTACTATTTTGATTAGAATTTTTTGCTTAGTTTCAAAGAAACTATTTAGGATAGTTTTATATTAATGCATAATACTGTGCATAATGATGAAAACTATTCAACTGTGTCCAAAATGTAAGACCTGGACCTTACTTTTCTTCATTTTGCATTATATAAGCTCAAGAAACTATAAAAGATATCTATTTCATCTAAGCACATGCACTGATACACAATGTTGAGAGCTTATCAACTGTGTTAATATTTTTTCTTAACCTTGCCTATGACTTTTGACTTTACTATTTGTTGCATTTAAAACTCAGTTTCAAGGAAACTATTCATTCAGATAATTTCATCACACATCATATACTAATTAATACACATTGGTGAGAACTATTCAGCCATGTCATAATTCTTAATTGTGACCTTGACCACATGTAGTGTTTTTCACCCTAATCTTAAACAAAGAAGCAAGGTACATTTCTATTCATGTTGCACTACTAATGAACCTTAGTTGGGGCATTCATGTCCTATGGACATATTTCTAGTTTTGTAATGAAAAGATTGTCAAATTTATCCATAACAATTTTTCCTCATTTGTTTATCCTCGCTCAGCAGAGCACCTGCAGACAAAGGGATACATGTATTAATTTTGAATTCAGGTCCTTTTTCTTCTTTTTTTTAGGGAGCCCAAGTGAAGTACTCCAGTGAATCATGTTGCAGAATCAGCCAACACCCAAATCTAAAGAACCACCCTGAAGACATACTACAGGAACTGACTGAGAAGGAGGAAAATTAGACCGGGTCATTGTAATGTCCAGTGGGTCAGGAGTCAGATCGAACAGTATCTCAAGGGTCAGGACTGACAGTTTCCTCAGCAAAACACCAGAAGGAGGATGAGAGATTTAACAAGTACCTGATATAGGGGTTGTTAGTAGCACAGAATGACTTCTCTGTAACAAAAGAAAAAAAATAATACAGGAGAATGAAAGACTAACAAAAAATATTTAGGATTTAAAATATTGAAATAATTGTTATTAGATCCAGTTAACAAATTCACAGAGTTTAGTATATCTTAATAAAAGAATCTACTATTTGTTCTAATAATGAATAGCATGACATTCTGGAAAGTTCAGATAGCAGTGAATTCATAGTAACATAGATTTGATATTAGATATTGTATTGCAAAGATCTCTAATGCTTCATGATGTAAATAATATATAATTTTTTATACAATATTTGAATGCATTATACATATATGAGCCCTTTTGCTCATCACTAGATTGATATGTTTACTTGCACTTATTTTCCTACATTTGTACAAGGTTTTTTTTTTCATTGATTTTGAATTGTTTTGATATGCAATATACATATGTTATAATTTTTTTTATGTTACCTTTCAAAATAAAAAATGGATGTTTGTTACATATTTTGTTGAATCAGTGCTTTAAAGTTGTGTCCATATAAAATTAAAACATTACGGTACGTATGCTAGCTGGCACATACAGAAATTGAAACATTGCTTTGAATTCATAGAATATCATTTCAATCGTGTATTAATTTTCATTGAAAAAATGGATTTCTTATTATACAGTCTTGATTTTGCTCTCATAAGTGATAGGAAATATTGAGAGGGAGATATCTCAGAATAAGACAGAATAGGAATTTTACTTTTGGAAAATTAACGAGCAGCTATAATCAAAATTTAAGATAAGGAACCCCAAACCCCTACCCTCATGATATTTTATTGGAAGGAGGGATAAAAATTTGTAAAACTATCACAGTTTGAACAGACCCTGGAATATGTAACATCACAAAACGCAGAGTGTACATGTAGAATGCCTAAATTTCGCTAAATGCTTGATATGGTATTTTGCCACCCCCAACAGAATTGCCACTGCCATTTATTTAACGAAATACTTTTATTTTTTTCTATTTTGATGAAAATAAAATTTACTCCAGATGTGAGGGTTTGTCCAGATATGACACTTGGGGGTCTGGAACCCCCCACCCCCACTCCACACTGATCCACACATGGAAAAAAAAATTAAAACCTGGTTTAAGATAGTTCAGAAAAGTGATTAATATTGCAACAAAACATATATTATTCTGCATGGTCTTATATAAAGTACCATTTTTTCTTTTTCATACTTACGAAATGACATTAAACAGTTAAATATTCTATTTAGCAATGTTTAGAGAAGACCTACATGTCCTGTCCATATTTCTGTAAAGAGAATATGGATACTACTGGACTTTATATCTTAAGCAAATTGTGTTCTTTAAAAAAAAGATGTGTACATTTTAAATTTTGTTCGTGGAAGATATGTAACTGAATTACAGACGTAGGTCAATGAACTGCCGAGGAAAGCTGCACGAGTCAATATAGAGTTCTCGCCCTTGAAACGCATTTTATTTTCAATCCGCAGAGCTTGTTTCTAAGGGAAATATAAATCCTCTTTTCTTATTCTTATGAATCAAAGTTTATAAATATATCATAGGGAAATTTATCTTCGTGATTCTAGCCAATTTTAACCAATTTTACATTATATAAAAATTTAAAATTCCGAAATTCCGTTTCGAATGGGTTTAAAGTTTAGGTGATCTTTTCAATATCCTGTGTAGAGGCATGGCTGGAAAACTTGACAATGCCAATCCACTGATTTTTGAACAGAGTAAGGAGAGACAGATCGTACCCGAAGAGGAAGACGACGATGTGGCCGATGGAATAGACGACAGAGAAGTGTTTGGTAAAGTAGAGTCATATAAATTTGTTAAACCAGAGTCAATAAGACTTGCTTTAAATGTAATCATTGGTAATATTGTTCTATTATAGGTTTTAATGTTTTTATGCAAAATATTTTTTTTTATTAAGAATATGTTTGCATCTTCATTAAATGGTTTGCAATTAAACAGAAGATCAAATGGTTGTGTAGAGTTTAAGAAGCCTGGGGATGAGTCTTTTCTGAATCTTCTATTACACTTGTGACATGTCATATTCACTACCAGATAGCTATGATCTGATGATGGTGTCATCTATCATGTTGTTCAAGGTGCCTCGTTTGAATCCTTGTCTGCTTCGTCAAATTTTTTCTTCATGTTGTTATAAACCACTTTAAGTTTATCATGAAAAATTTTATTTCTAGATATGATAAGAACCATCAATGATCCTGAACACCCTTTAACCTTGGAGGAGCTAAATGTGGTTGAAAATGCTCGAGTCAAGGTAAAAAAAAAAGTGATTTCCTTCTATGTCATAGATAATTGATTGAACTTGTATAAAATATATTAGATATTTTATGTGAAGAGGAATTTCTCAGCATAAATGACTTTTTGCTTACATTTGAATTGGCTGTTTGTAGGTAGATGATGAAAACAGTCATGTGGGTATAGAATTTACTCCCACAATTCCACATTGCAGTATGGCCACATTGATAGGGCTCTCCATACGAGTCAAACTACTCCGATCTTTGCCAGCCCGTTTTAAGGTATGATACTGGTATTAAATGATTGAATTCAAACTACATGTAAGAGAACATTTAAAGCATGTTTTATTCATTGAGAACCAGAAAACTGGAACTAGAAAGTAGATAGATAATCATAAACATAGCGTACTTCAGAATTTTGAGACCAAACACCTTATTTTTTCATCTTCATAATGTCTAGTCATCAAGACAGGGATTGAACTCGCGGTCATTTCAAAACCTTTATGTTTGTTTTATTAAAGAAAAAAAAATTAATATTACAATGTAATGGGCCACAGCATAGACATGATGTTGAAGTTTATATTCTTCAGGATTTTGGTAGAATTTCATGACTTACATATTGCCAGAGCTTTTTCTCAGACTGATATAAAAGCATGTTTAAAATGGGTTTGTGATTAATTAAGTCTCGATCAAATCCAAGATCTCCTTCTCAGGTACTGAAAATCTGCAGCTATTTGACCTGAGTTGTGTGAATCTGTATATACTACATTGATTTGCAATTTGAAATTTTTCTTGTAAAAAAGTTCTCATTGAATATGTGTTCAGTAGATTTTGCACAGGCAAGAAACTATATATATTTATACCTTTGAAATAGGTTGATGTATCCATTACCCCAGGAACCCACACATCTGAAGTTGCAGGTACTCTATCTAATTGGTTTTGTGTGGTCATAATGATTGTTAGCTAATATGTCTATGATCTTGTACTCATTATAGTTCTTTTCTTAATAACACACTATGCTAATGCCTTATGGCTTTAAAATAATAAATTGTCTAGAAATTAGTGCGGTGAATGTTTTATAAGCTATTGATTTGTGTCAGATATGTTAATTTTAATGATACACTGTAGAATCTTTATGCTAAAATTATTATTGCCATCACTATAAGGTTGCAATACTATTCTATGACACATTATTCAAAGTCATCAAATTTTAAAGTACTATCTTGCATGCTTTTTTACTGTAGTAATAATTATTGAATGTGGCAACAATTTTCACCCACATAATAATATACCGGTACTATACAGTGAATTTGTACATACATTTCAAATGAAGTATTTAATATTTTCTTGTTCTAACAGTAAACAAACAACTGGCAGACAAGGAGAGAGTAGCTGCTGCATTAGAGAACACCCATCTCTTAGAGGTGGTCAACCAGTGCTTAGCAACAAGGAAGTGACGTCACAGACACAAGGACAAAATATATTTCCTAAATATTTCCTAAGCCGTCATTTCCAAGGACTAGAAATTGAAGCTGTCTAGTAGTTATCATTGTTTCAAGTGTAGAGGCAGACTTAGCTAAGTATGGACACTATCTGATCTTATGTCATGTCATTTGGTACAAAAAAATGGAATTAAAACTGTGTGTCAACCCATATCTCTGATTCATGGAAAAGTATCTTGAACAGAAATGTTATACTCAAAGACAAATTATCGACATTAATCACCATTATGATTGTATTGGAATGTTATCCAATTACATATTGCTTTGACAACAAACAACCCAATATTTTGTCACTGTTTATAATATGTATGTATTATACATGTACATAATAAATGTATGTTCGTATTGCTTGGTCATACATTATTCAATATGAGGGATTTTTGATGCAGTGGAATTCTGTGCAGAGAGAGAGAGAGAGATCAATCACTTGAGCTGAAGGCTCAAGTGAGCTTTTCTAATCATAATTTGAACGATGTCTGGTGACGTCTAAACTTTTCACATTTTTGACTTCTTCTCTATAGCCACTCAGCACATTTCAACCAAACTTGTCAAAAAGCATCCTTTAATGAAGGGGATTCAAGTTTGTTCAATTTAAGAGCCAGGTCCTTTTTTAATAATTTGTAATTAAGAATTAAAGGAAAATTAGCATCTTTTACCAAACTTGTAAAAAACCTCTGGGCCAGAAAAGATGAAACTTATATTGTTATATGAGAGATTCATTGCATACCGATACATGTAGGGTAGATTCAAATTTGCTAACAGTTTGTGGCAAAAAAGTTTGACATAGGAATATATAAGAATGAATCTTAAAAAAAATTCTTCCAAAAAACAGCAAAGTATGATTAGTCATATTAATATTGAAGCATCCTAACGTAGTGTAGATTCAATTTTGTTCAGACACCCCTGGTGACAGGGTGGGGCAACAGTAGGCAATAAATGTTGACATAGGAATATATAGAAATGAATCTTAAAATAAAAACTTCCAAGAAACAGCAGAGCCATGATTAGAAATATTAATACTAAAGCTAGTGTTGTGTAGATTTAATTTTGCTCAAATCATGACCCCTAGGGTAGGGTGGGTCCACTGTTGGTAATCAAAGTTTTATTTAGGAATATAAAGGAATAAATCTTTAAAAATATTAAGAACAAGAAAGTCCTGATTAGTCATATTAATATGGAAGCATTCCCAGTTAGTGAAGAATCAAATTTGTTCAAATCATGACCCACAGGATTAGAGTGGGGCCACAATAGACAATAAAGTTTTCATAGGAATATATATATAGCAGTGTTTGAAATAACCAACCGTCCAAGACTCACAAAGGACAAGGTATGGTAACGAACGAATCTGGCCCCTTATTTGATGTAAAAATCAGAACACAGTTAAAATGATGCTTGTTTTAAAACCAGCACTAATTTTGATTCATAGCTTACATGGAGGCCACAAGAGGGTGCAGAAGTAGGACATTTTCCTGTATTTCCTCAATTCTGGTTGAATTAAATCTTCTCAAATTTGAGATACTTTTCACTTCGGGAAACATAGAGCACAAGCTTGCCTATTTAAGATTTTTATACATAAGAGGCATCTGATACTAGTGTATGAAATATATAAATTTGGTAGATAGGCAAGCTTGTGCTCTATTTTTTCTGAACCAAAATGTGTTGCAAAATCAATGAAAATTTGCATAAAAATGAGAAAATTAGGAAATTAACATATTTTCTGACCTTCCTGTGACATCTGTGTATTCCATAACTTCGAAACAATACTCATTTTGTGACAGGGGTGACAACAGGTTTTTAATTGATAAATTGTTGCATCATTCTAAAAGACACCCCAAACCAGGGGCCAAAGAGGGGTCTTGGCCTATCTTGTCCTTTTGCAGCGGGCTAACAGATTTGCACGTACATGTATCAACACCCGACTGGACTTGTACAATTTCCCATTAATTAAAATTTATTAATTTGATTAATCTCTCCTGAATCAACTAATGGTATTGGTTGCAAAGTGTTACAAGCAAAAATTGTAGAATTTGTCAGCCTATAGATTCAAGATCAAAGTTTTGATGATCTGACCCCTGTTCAAATTATTGCATCATTCTAAAAGACACCCCAAACCAGGGGCCAAAGAGGGGTCTTGGCCTATCTTGTCCTTTTGCAGCTGGCTAACAGATTTGCACATACATGTATCAACACCCGACTGGACTTGTACAATTATTTTCTCGGGCTAGTAGATTTTTGGCAGGTAGCAGTCAGCCATGCATGTCTAGCTAAATTTACGGTGAGTTTAAAACACTTATATATAGAAAAAATCTTTAAAATCTCGGTAAAATCCTGATTAGTCATATTAATATGGAAGCATCTTCAGGTATTGTAGATTCAAGATAATTCAAATTATGACCCTGGGGGTAGGGTTGGACCATAATAGATAAAAGTTTTACATGGGAATATATTGGAAAAAATATGTTGATGAAGAACAATGACTCAGGTGAGTGTTGTGGCCCATGGGTATCATTTCTCTATAAAACATTTTACTGTATCCCTAGAATTTGCATATACAGTTGAACTTTGTTATCTGGAATACAAGGGATATGTCGAAGTAGCAGTCCCAGTCACTTTTCTTTGTTTTTTACCCTTGTTATCTTGAATCCCAGTGTCATATAATATATTGAACCCCGTGATATTTTGAACCCGGGTTCAAAATATCGCTGCAAAATATTGAACCCCCCTATAAAATATTGAACCCAGGGTTCAATATACCGGTATTATAGCCTTGTGGCCATAATATTTTGAACCCCATTACAGACATTCTCTGTTTAAAGCATAGGGGTTCCTAAGATTATGGTGTTGAAATGTTGTACCTCCTAGTTTTAAATTTTTGTGTTTGTAGATTGGCGTGGAGGTTTAAGATAGGATTTATGGCTGTAAAATGTTGTACCCTCTATTAGAAATATATGTGTATAGGAGGGTGTTTAAAAATTATTGACCTAAAAATAATTTTTGAATGGTAAGAGGGGTTCAAGATATTATGGCAGTGAAATTAAAAGGGTAGGGGACTCAACATGGTCATATTGTCTTGAACCCCCTCCCTCTTAAATTAAAAGGGTAGGGGACTCAATATATTATGGTCATATTGTCTTGAACCCCCTCCCTCTTAAATTAAAAGGGTAGGGGGACTCAATATTTTATGGTCATACTATCTTGAACCCCCCTCCCTCTTAAATTATAAGGGTAGGGGGACTCAATATTTTATGGTCATCAAATCTTGAACCCCCCTACCTCTTAAATTAAAAGGGTAGGGGGACTCAGTATATTATAACCATAATATGATGAACCCCCTCCCTCTTAAAATTAAAAGGGTAGGGGGATTCAATATTTTATGGTCATAATATCTTGAACGCCCCTCCCTCTCAGATTATAAGGGTAGGGTGATCGACTCAATATTTTATGGTCATAATATCTTGAACCCCCCTCCCTCTTAAATTATAAAGGGTAGGGGGACTCAATATTTTATGGTCATAATATCTTGAACCCCCTCCCTCTTAAATTAAAAGGGTAGGGGACTCAATATATTATAACCATAATATGATGAACCCCCGGGTTCAATATTTTATAAGGGGGTTCATTATATCGCAGCGAGAAAATGAACCCGGATTCAAAATATTATGCGATATATAGAACCCGGGTTCAATATATCGCGGTATCAAAATATGATGCTACACCGGGACATCTCAAAGTTTAATAGTTCCAAGTATCAAGGTTTGTTTACTGTAAAATCACTCATTTTCATGGGGTCAAATTTTTGTGGTTTAAGGGAAAAAATGCCTTTTTTAGGAGATTTGGTTTCATGCTTGAAGAAGAAGATCATACTATAGTATGAAATTTCATCATTTCCTGGGGGACAAAAATTCCTGGATCTCTTCATACCATGAAAACAACACACATTAAACCCTCACAATTATAGAACCATAAGCAATCATGTGAATGTGTTTGAATTGGCTTGCTTTGTTGTACTAGAGAAAATACTATGTAAAATAAATGGATGATGAATGGTTCATTCTTTCTGGAGGTTTATATGGGAATTTTTTTAGTAACATAAATAATTTGAGCAATCAATAGTACATGTAGAAAAATACCCTTGTGCATCATGTACCACCACATAATTCTGTTCAAGTTTGTCTGGGCTGGCCACTAAAATTAGGGATCTAGAGGGGCCAAATTTTTTTAAAAAGAATTCTGAGTTCTACTCTGCTGTATCCAATTATATAAATTTCTCTAGAGATATAAAACCAAATCAATAAAAGATCATTCAGAAAGATTTTTATTCACATATAAAACAGGGAAAAGTGACAGTTTTGTAAAAATGGATTTTTTTAAGTGATGAAAAATAGTGACACCATGACAGTCCAAGTTAAATTAGATATATATTGTTAAAACAATTTGATAAAATACACAACACATTGGCAAACACTGACCACTGAGTGTATTAAGAAGATCAGAACATTTATACTTAACACAAAATATAAATACATGTATCATTTTTACTTTAACAAGTACAAAAATAAAGCATCATTGAAACCCTAACAAACACACAAAAAAACACGATAAAGGACTATATTCTGTAGTGGCCAGTATCTGCCCCCAAAATAAAACTTTGATGGAGAAGTCTTTAATTATGTTCTAAACCAGTGGATATTCTACAGACTTCAAAGCATTAAGTACTTTTATCAACTATGACATCATTAGTTAGATATGACGTCAATAAAATGACGTAAATTCCAAATTGCAATGATTTTGAGAGAAAATAGCGTATTTTACGTCGGTATTTTGATTGGAAATTACCGAGCGCAGGTCTGCTCAGACTAGATCTTTTGATATAATGTGTAGAATGATAATATCAATGAAATATGTGAATATGGCACCTGAGCAGGCTTGCGCTCTATAAATACTATAGTCAAAATTGAACAAACTCTGTGCATTTTGGCCTCTATTTTAAAAATAACGGAAATCCAAATAGTTTGTGACGTCACAGAGACAAGAAAAGCCAACTAATTTTTCCAATTTCATAATATATTGTCTTAATTTGGATTATTTTATACAATATATGCACTTTTTCTCATTTCAAGAGATTTTCAAAATTTGACTATTATGGGGGCAGGAATACGCCCTTACCGTATATAGTTCTTTGGTACGAAAAATGGAAGTATTATATTAATTATGTACATAGTCTTAGATGAGTAAAAATATAAAGCATCAGTGAATCCCATCACAAACAAAAAACTAGAAAATCATAATAAAGAAATAAACAGATGATGGTTGTATGTCTTATTTACACATGCACTTTGTATCACATTAAGTTTTTTTCAAACATAAGGGAGGGGGGTCACTTTTGTAAAGTTTGTCATCATTTGGCACATTGTAAGTACATGTAGTAATAAATGTAAGTTAGATGTATGAACAGCAAAAGAACAACATTAAAACAAAATTTATACAGACTATCAAACCATATCAAAACCTATTAACTACAGTGTATCAAACCATAATGGACAGTACTTTCAAAATTATGAAGACATCTTACTTCATGTTCACAGATTGAAGGAAGGTAACTGGAGGAACTTATGGAATGATCGACTGGATGCACATTAAGTGTGTGTTAGAACTATTCATGTTTAAGTTGTGAAGTTAATATTAGATATATTGAAATAAAGTAGATTGTCAGAAGAAAAATCCAAACCCAAACCAAACTTAAGTTACTGGTATATATCACAGATATGCTTGTAATATGCCATACAGTTTTGCATGACAGTAAACTAATATGCTATAACACACTTCTAGTAAAACTATATCAGCATTAACACCACACAACAACTGACAAACCCTAGAATACTTCAAAAGTTCAGATTTAGTGGATTAAAAAATGTCACACTAACATCTGATGTTAGGAAAATATACAAGTAAAAAATATAAGCTATAATGCCTGTTCCCTAATACATGTAACATGTTAAAAGATGCTGCTGTTCATTGCACTAAATTCAAAGATTACTCATAGCAATTTATATGTATGATGATAATTTAAAAGTTCTCCCTCACAATTAATATGAACATCTTTATATGTTCTTTTTCTTACTTATGACTTCAAGAAGTAGATATCCTAGCTCTGACTATATTGCTGTACAAAAACCAAATTAGTTAAATAACAGCTTAAGTGCAAAATGATTCAGGTTAAACACGGCTCAATAAATTAATTCACTGATTATGGAAAGAAAAAGAAAATATGTACATGAAAGGTACATAACGTATAAAGTATATATCTAATCAATCATCCATGCTCCAATCATACAGTACATCACAATTCACAAAATATTTTAAAGACAAAAAAAATGGTTATATTCATTTGTAAGCATAAATCCTCATAGCAAATCTGTATAAATGACTAGTGAAAAACATGCATGTTCCTTTTGAAGATAATACCAAAGTTTCCTTTGTAAACAGATAACATTAGCTTTCTCCCTCTGCTGGGACAGGATGTAGAGAACGTGAGGAATGCTGGGAGTCTAAGGAAATCTGACTGGCATTGAGGGGTGTCCCAGAATTCAGTGGTGTCCCTGACTGCCTGGGTGTGGTGGCCTGACGTGACCCCGAGGCTCGTGAAGATCTTCCAGTCAATCGACCGTCCTCTCCACCAATGTTTGATGTGGAACTCCTTGTGTTACTTTCGTCCCCAAAACTGATGAATGTGACTGGGCGATTATCATCGATTCCCATTGGACGATTTCCTATCAAGTTTGTTCTTCCCTCACTGTAAATTAAAGACAAAATGACCATGTTTGCTTTCTTCACAACTGGTCTTGCTGTAGTAATTTATTTTCAATGTCACATGTACAGCTATTGCTTTCACAATACCTTGCATTTATTATAATTAAAATATCTTTCCCTTTCTTATGTTCAAAAGTGCAAGTGTACTTACGGAATGGGTGGGAGTCCCACTTTTTTGTAGTGTTGCCATGCCTCCAGAAAAGCGGGGCTAATTTTGCTTCTTTTAGTATAGTGAAGCAGTATCCTCATCAGGTATGGGTCATTACGGCACCTAAAGAAAGGGACAACATTAACTTTCTAATCAGAGCCCCTCATCTGCGCAAACACCTCCAATTTCTTACTACCAATTTCTTTGTCCAACATATTGCAACACAATTCTTTGTTTTATAAGTTCCATAACTTTATGTATATACCGGTAATTGTAATAATTTTGAGGTGTTACATAATTTAGACTTATGAAATATACTTTTTCAATTCTTGAAGTACCAAACTTACTTGTTGAGAAGTTGTCGTTCCCCATTGTGATTGTAAGAGAGGTACCCTAAAGCAATAGCGGCTGATCCCCTTACTTGTTCTGCTGGGGACACCAGCAGCTTACACAGATGTTCTATCACATTGATGGAAATCATGGCAGCTGGCACACCTAGGAATCAGATAAATGGGGTAGATTCATACTAACATAGTCACTGTTATATACTGACATGAAATTGATTATGAATATATATACCAGTTTTAAGAATTTTAAATAAATTCAAAATAATTTTCTCTATATAAACAGTACTCAAATTATTTTGTGACATCTCATAGAAAATGCACTAGATCCAAATCTCTACTGTACACTGCAGCTTACCTGCCCTTGTGTGAGCCAGCCTAGCGATGCAGTCAGCAGCCAATGTCAGGGTCTCGCTTGAGGAGGAATCCTGGAGGAGGTCGACCAAAAGTTTGATTCCTGCTGCTGAGGACAAGGCCTGCTCCTCATCAGGGATAATTCTTGCTAGGACTACCACCTACAAAAATCACAGTCAATGAGTTCCTGGTACCGGTACATTGTATTTATTTTATTTTTTTTATCAGAAACTTACTCAGATAAACTAACTGACATAATGAGGAAGAGTAAAATTTGTAGTAAGAAAACTGATTTTAACATGCCCAATGCCCATTTTTAATAATGAAAAAAAAATAAATACTGAATTTTGAATTTGCACAAAATTTACTCTTTTTTGTAAGTACATAATGTTTCTGCATGTACAAGCATTATTTATGAACAGAAAAGCTTTCCATTTTTCTGAATGGTAATATTCAAGGACTAACCTGGAAAGCTGCCAAACATCTATAATATTCATCAGGAGACTGTAAAAATGGACAGAAGCAGTTAAATCGGACTCCGCCCTGGTCTGCAATCTCTTTCTGCTGGTTCACGTTGTTGTATGCGAAGGTGGCAAGGGCTAGTCCAGCGAGGAGACGGACATCGGGGTCCATGGAATACATCATCTTTAGGATCCTTACATAACTAAAATCTATGTTAGAATGGATGTCCTCTAGTATTGCCTGGTTACCTGTTATAAAACAAAGAAAATTAAGTTTCATTTAAAATTTTAACTTTTATCAGTTTAATATCAAAAACATTTTACAACTTAAATCAATATTTCTTTATGGTCTATTTGAAGGGATGTCTGGTAATTAACATAGAAGAAAGGCTGATTCAGATTAAACTATGCTGCTTGCATATTTAAGTTTTATTAATTTGCATAGTTATGTAGAAAACTACAATGTCAAGGATAAAAACCTTGTAAAATGTTGTTATATATGTATAAAATATAAAATTCTATCTTTAATACCATATGAATATTACTATTTAGCATATGTACGTGCTGAAATTTTTTTAAATCTTTGTCATGATCTATTACATTGTGATATAACCATTAACCTATTTCCATGCCTCTCAAATGTAATAATTAAATGTCAACTTATGCTTAATTTTTCAATATACAGTTAACATTTTAAACCTTTTTTCATAACCACAGTTTTATATAAGATATTAATGAGTCATTTAAACTTTCAAACTGCACTTCTTACAGGGACTTGGAGCTATGTCAAGTGATCTAATTCTGCTAAGATATGCAACAATCACTTGAGTATTTAGGATTATAACTTCAATCTTTTTTAATAAATCATTCACAGAGCACAGGGGCCAAGGCTTAAAATCTGCCATTTATTTTATCTAGCCAGCATGTACAGCACAACATTGTATTGTTAAAAAATCCCCACTATTGTTCTCGTAATAAAAGGTCTTCCTAGGCCAATGGATGTTTCAATCACAGCCAAGTATTAATCCAACCCCCCTTGAATGTTTCTTTGTCATTTCACAAAATTTAAATCTGACAATCGATTTCCGTTTACTTTATAAATTAGCTAATCAATTTGTTCCTGTATTCACTGCTTATAAAAAAGATCTAAAAGTTAGATTTAAATGTCAGAACTTATAAGTTCTGATGCATGAAGTATATTACATAGTAAGAAATTATATTTATTTTAAAGCATAAATATTATCAATTCCTCTTGTGAATATGGTAAAGAAATTCTCAGACTCTATGTTTAAAATTCACACTATGTAAAACATTAATTTAGTTTCCTTGGAGGTTGTTTAAATTACAGAACCTTTTTATGTGTCACTTTAAAAACACTTTATCATCCATTAAATCTCTCTTATATATTATCTTCAAAGAAAGGGTAATCATTGGCAAATGTACCGGTAATACTGACATATATTCATACCTTGGACTAAATTTCATTTCAGACAAATGTTGAATTCATAACCTTTATTAACTTTAGCATTCATCTCACAAACTCTTCTAGTAATTTTGATACCTTTACATTCCTTTCTTGATTGATTGTATCAATTTTTACAAAGTGTATTTTTGCATGCATAATATATCTACATTTTTAAGTATATTACAAAACCACACTGTGAGAAACTGGATTCCAATGCTAAATTAGATGGTGTAGTGTTTACTTCTACCAACTTTCTTACAAATAGCAATTTTGGTGTATTTGTCAGACTGTGGTACTTAGAATATTAACCCTCCTGACACTAGTATAAAGTTAGTGGAATGAGATAATATATGAACATAAGCATACAATGATAAAGTTCTATATTCCTTTTAATATAATGTGATGTATGACAACATGATAACGAATAATTCAAGAGCATTATAAAAAACACTATACAGACAATTCAAAATGGAATGTTTAAACCTATTTTGTGTGGAAACCATGGAAAACTTACTAGCAAAATTAAGGCTGCATGCACATAATCTTTGGTTAGGAAACTAGTACTTTGAACTGCATTATGCTCTTGTGAATAAATTTGATCTTTTGAATTTAATCTCCTACCAAGTGACCTCAATTTTTTTTTAAACAATTTAATCTTCCAGACCTGCTTTGTAATGAATATGAAGTCTTATAACTTGAAATATAATTGATCATCATATGGGTTACCAAACAGATAATATGGACATGTAAATCGCGATCATATATATGATGGATTTCTGACAAAATCCAAAGCTGTCCCCATTAAAACAGTTTTCACCTTAAAAGGAGAAATTAGGTTTGTATATTAAAAATGGTAACTACACCATGTTAATGTGTAATAGTTCAATCTATTGTCTTGCAAGACCTTGACCTTTGACCAAGTGACCTGTAAAATTCATAAATGACTATGATAATAGTAAATATGTCTATAAATTAAAAAAAAATACCTTAGTTATCTCAAAACATACAATGGTAATATTCACAAGTCAAAATCATTTAACTTGACCTTTAACAACTGGCCCTGTAATTTTCTCTCTAGCCATTTTTCCACCTCTATTATACACAAGGTACATTAAAGGTTAAAAATTCCAGGGTTTTATGGAACCTGTATGTAGAGTTTTAATTCATGGTGACCATATATGAATTTGCAATTGTCATAGATATACATTAAACCTTTGATCAAATGGTTCTAATCCCTCTAAATATACCTTAAGTTTGCTGAAAATATGAAAACTGTATGCTGAAACACATTTTTTTGCTTCTGTTATGCATAATGTATTGATGGACATAGGCTGACAGCAAGACAGTGGACACAACAGTGATTACTATGGGGCACCAATATTTTAATATGCCCTATTACGCTACAGACAGACAGGAGAACTAGTACATGCAGTTGTATAGTGCCTGAAGTTACATTAATATCTAATATAAATTTCTCACCTAGTGAAACACATGCTAATGTTAAAGCCGACTCCACCTGGATCATCTGATTTCTAGAATGCACCATAAGAGCCACAATCAGCTTGATTCCTCGGATGGTCATAATGGTATTTTGATTTTTCTTATGTGGCACATACCCCACTCCAACACACAAAAATCTGATGGCACGAATCACACTTAACACAATGTACTCCTTTTCTGATCGTATAAGTCGACCAAGAGGAGCTATACCATTAGCATTGGCTATGTCACTTTGATAGCTAAGTGGACCCTGTGCTAGGACCCCAAGTCCTTCTGAACCAATAAAATTCAAGTCTTCAGACATGCTGTTGATAAATTCTACGAGTGTCCCTACATCCATGCGTTCAGCTATGAACCGTTTTACATCAAACTCTCTCCCTGCAATGGCCCACAAGGCTAATGCAGTCTTTTCCTTCACAACTTCAGCACGGGTGGTGCCCAGCAGCTTCAGGAGGAGTTCTTGCACTTGGTCAGACAGCATGTGCTTTTGTGAGTATGGATTGTTTGCTGCCATTTTACGAATACTCTCCACAGCCGTCACTTGAATGTCTTTGTTTCTGAGGCGTGTAACTGCCAGCACGTGAGGAATAACTCCCGCATCCACAAAACTGTTCTGGTTGACCTCATTGTCATAAGAGATCTTACCAATTGTTCTGCAGGCGGAATTTAGGAAGTCCTTGTCTTTCTGGTCTTCCAGTAGCTGCACTATGGTTTGTACACATCCCTGCTGCTGTCCAACCAGGTCCTGGTATTTCTTTTCATGCTCTGCAATGTTACCCAAACAGTCTATTATCTGGACCAGTACCTCTGGATTGTGAATTGTCTGCATTGCCTTGATCAAGCTCTGCACCCCATTATTCTGTGATATTGCCTCAGCATAAACTTTGACTGTTGCCATTTCCTTTAGGATTTCTGCTGAGAGTTGAATCAGGTGATGGTTTGTGGACTTCAAAAGTTTGATGTACGTAGGAACTCCGCCAGAACTTAACACTTGCTCTTTGACCTCTTCCCTTTCTATGATGTTCAGCAGGGTCTGGAAAGCAGGAATTTTTGCCTCCTCTGAGATTGTGGACTTGGCAACCTTAATTATAATTGGAACTCCACCATGGTCATAAAATGGCTTCCAGTTTGGACTGATGCCGTCTGCTTGACTACCCTGGGTCAAAGTTCGCAGAGACTTTCCAGCAGCTTCTGCTTCTTCATCACTCTCTGATGAAACAAACCTCAACAAATTCTTCCATACTGGAATCTTTTCAAAATCTTTCTCTATGAAATAATTCAGTAGATCTATGAAACCCTTCATAGCACATATTTCCACTGCTCCATGATTCTGAGAATCTATGGCATTGATCTTCGAGCCCAGCTCTATCATCTGATGGACAGCTTCGATTTTCCCTCCTTCCACTGCACACAAAAATGGTGTGAGATTCTTTCCATCTGTGGTCTCCAGTTCCAGAAGAGAGGGGTCATCTTTGACAAAGAACTGTATGGATTTAAGGTAGCCCCTGTTGGCAGCCTGGTGGATCTGGGCCCACCCAGAGGCATCAAACTCATCAGCCATACTGATGGTACTGGACCTAAAATCACAGGCAAACAGTTATTAATGTTGTTTCAAATTTTGTCAAATGTTAAACAGATTATATGTGACATAATTATTATCTCAAAGATATACATGGAACACTACTAACACAACTCTAACACATTTTGTGTCTTAATATATTGAGGGACATGTTAAGACGGAATTTATGATCAAGTGTTTTTAGAAATCGATCTGCATGGTATAAACCTGCACAATTAATTCAGAATCAGTACCACGATGAAAATTATGAAATATATAAAAGTTCATTTTGATACATTAAAGGCAATATGATAGACAGTTTTTCTTTAATTAGTAATTGATTTTAGTGCCTGAAGATTTACAACTCACAGTTTAAAACAAGTAACAGCATTGTTACTTTAATTTCCCAAATGGCAAATATAAACAGAACAAATTGTTATACGCATGCAGGCCATAAATATAAGAATTGATTTAATTGGTAAAATGTTGGGAAATATTGACACATTTATTGTGACTAATTGGTCTGAATGAACTATGAAAAATTATCAATAGCTATATTGTAAGTCCAGCATTATAAATTAATGCGTCTGTCCCTTTTATGGAGCCAGAAAAGGATTTTTCATTTTGTGTACCTAAAACAACCCCATACACCAATTGCTCTTATTAACCACAACCAACATGAAGGAGCAGTTCCACAACATATAAAAGTTTCGATATTCTGCATGTTTGTAGCTTCAATATGTGTCAAAGTGTTAGGAAGTAGAAAATCAATATCAACAGATATTTGATAGGATCGAAACTCAGATATAAAACTAATATTCATAAAAAATAGAGCAAGACTTATGGTTTCTTTTGGTTTAAATGATTCTATAGATTCTGGGTAAATAAATCTGATTAATGGTGTACATCTACATATCAACTCAATGGTACATATGGTACATGTACTATAAATATATAAAATCACCTAAACCACAAAACACAGATATAATGATATACAGATTGATATATAATTTAGAAAGCACCTTATTAAAATTGACATGGACATCTAACCATTCCAAGTATAAGTTTCACACACATTGAAATGTAATTTGTTGGTTCTCTCTTACTTTTTTACTGTGTAAGGAATTGCATATCCATTTTTTTGTTTGGGAGGAGGATGGGGGGAGGGGATGTTTTCATTAATTTCTTCAAGAAATTCATTTGAAATTTTTGATATGTACTTGTGTTTTAAATTTTGGGGAAAATAGAGGAAAACCTTTTTTGATATTACATGAAGGTGGAGTATTATAAAGTTAAATTTCAATATCTTGAACACTGAAATCTTGAATACCAGGATATGTCAAAGTGATTTGGAAGTCTCAACCACATACCGTATATACTCGCCTATAAGTCGGTCCGCCTATAAGTCGGTTGTATTTTTTGAGGTTATTTTTGAGGGATTTGCCATTGACCCGCTAATAAGTCGGTACAACTTTTTATTAGAATCAGTTGACAATTTCAAACCAATGCTCTGATGTTTTATCTGGTTTCGGTTAATATTCTTAGAAATGACAACGATATTTAATTTTAAATCATTAAGAAAAATACATAATGCACACTTTAAATAAAAATAAAGTTATTAAAATATGAAAATACTTGTACTTTATGTATAATCTTAGAATGCATATATGATACGATATACTACATTTCAACGTCCAGATAATACTAATCTTTTATGACTCGCCTATAAGTCGGGCCTAGAGTTTGGGACCAAAATTTAACTCCCAAAAAAACCGACTTATAGGCGAGTATATACGGTATTCTTTAAGTATTTTATGCTTAATATCTCGAATCCTTGGATATATTGAATTTTTTTCTCAGTCCCATCAAGTTCAAGATTACACTGTTAGACCGTATCTATTGTTACTTAGTACAGTCAAACGTCATTATCTCGAACTCAACAGGACCAAGAAAAAACTTCGAGATATCCAAGGATTCAAGATATACAGGGTACAATACTTTAAAGAATAAGAGATTGGGACTTCCAAATCACTTCGACATTTCCATGGTACATGTATTTGAGATATTGGTGTTCAAGATGCCAAAGTTTAACTGTAATTATTATGCAATACCACAGAGTCACTAAATATGTGAAGTAGTTCTATAAATCCATGTTTATGCAAAGTATAACATTGGAGGTGGAAGAAAAAATCACTGTCAGTGACTGGATCTTTGCTAACCAAGTGTTTCTGATCCATTAGTTAATGTGAGGACTGTAGCCAATCAGAAACACTTAGCTAGTGAAGATGCCGTGACTGTGAAAACCAGTACTACTCGCCAGCATTTGAGTTGCATGTGCAGCAAATGCCGTGTTCTGACTGATTTATTGCACGGCTTTATTTTATTGTTTAATTTTCTTCGAACTTAAAACGTGAAGAAATGAAGACTTCCAGAACTGCAATAAATTAACTTTTATTTATGCAGAGCATGTTTTGGTGAAAAATTCATATGAACTTGCAGACATGAAAATTGCATCAGGCCATCAAATATAAATATTTGTACCATATATACACCTATAAAGCTGCTCCAAGCCACATATTTTATAATCACTTTCATATAAACACAGGGGACAATAACATACATGTTACATAATCACTATATATACACTCACTGTATACAAAATGACCTAAAATCAAGCAGAGTGCATGTTATTGCCCCAGTGCATATAGATATTTTTTTCAATAACAAGTTGATCGACCTTTAAATGAATACCAAATGTTTAGTGATCATCGTAAGAAATTCATTACATTGTATTTGTAAGAACACTAATTTGCATTGCTAGACTACTTTTCCTAAGAGGAAGGGTTGGACCTTACAAGATATACTTTTCAAATTATTATATCAATTAAATATGAACATCACTCAGTCCTGTTAAATATGAAACAGGTGAATATATCACCTAACGTGATTTAAAATTTATTCTTTAGTCTTCTTTAAATTATCTTATTCTACATAGATTATTTTCCCAATTTTTGTGTAATATATCATTGAGAAGCAACAATCAGAACACTCCGTATATATACTCCAAATTCTGTGATATACAGCATGTAATATGTTCATAAAGACAATGCACAATGATTTCACAGGAATTCAGGTTGTGCAGTTATACTCTTATATAACCATATGATCATAATTTCTTTTAAATTATTATTATTTTATTTTAAATGAGGTTTGAAATAATGTTAAACAATTGAAATCAGTGTACATTGTCAAGAATCCATCCAGTTGGCTAATATTTATATTTGCAAAACTGCACAATCTATATATTAAAGCTTTTAATAATTTACTTTATGCCAGATCGACTTGCCATCCTTATTAAACTTGTAACTCTGAAAGAATATCACAAATTGCAATCGGTATTTGCATCAGTATTGTAATCTGATGCACAGTGTAGTGTCATAAATTAATATTTTATAGTTATAACGTCAGATATAAAATTGGTCATAAAAAATGGAATTGTGAGACTTACGACAGTCGTAGTTAATTATGAAATTGGGTCAATAACAAATGACAATACAATATTTATGACATTTTTAAATAAGTGCATGAATTTGATGAAATATTTCCTTGTAATGAACAATTAAGATTAAATTGCTTATTTCATCTTTATTAATTGTTTGAAAGACTACCATTTTTTTTATTGTTAAAGACCGATTGTAAACTCTAAAACTGCAAGAAGACAGGAAGCTTTACCTTGCTAACTATGTTTACTTTCCAGCATCATTCAGAGACAATATTTACATCCACTTCCACTGCCCGAGTTTTCTAAAGCTGGTCGTGATTGGTTGCTAAGCGCGCACCTGCAAAGAGCTTATCAGGGCGAATAACTCCGTAGAAATCTTGAAGGACTCTTAGATTTCGTATAAAAAATAAGATTAGAATCTTTGGTCATTGAAATTATTAAGTAGGTGCCTTTTAAACGATAAAAAATTAATGACATTGCCTTTTATTATTGTATGATTAATAAAAATTATGTTCCGTATTTAATTACAATTTGGTTCTGTTTTTAGCGTCCTATAATTATTTCCTTCATTAGTTTACCATGTGAAGTTTTTTCTGCAACTTTTGTTAACACTTTATATGCAAGGTAATAGAATTTATCCCAGTAATTTTCTTCATAAGATACCTTACTTTAAGTATTTGAACAATATAACACGACAATTTTACAATTTTAATTATTATATATATTCATTATTCAATGTAGATTTGAGATTTTTAGAATCATGTGATATTGTGCAGGGGTAGTACTCAGTACTCGGACAGGTTACCATCGTAAAATTACTTGTCTTACAAAAATATGCTTGTCCCACCTTTTTCTTTAATAACACAAAATTAAAGCATTATCATGAAATATATGGAGATAACGAACAGTATTCAAGCTCAAAAGTCCATTAATCAATACAAAATAGGAGCAGAGCAAACACGGACCTCCAAACATCAGAGGTGGGATCAGGTGCCATGGAGGAGTGAGCATCCCCTGCCGACCGGTCACACCCGCGGTGTGCTCCTTGTCATGATCGGGAAATAACAGAAAAATCCGTCGACAATTCAGTGTGTAAATAATGGCCTAACAATTAGTATGAAAAACGTCAGTCAGCATTTGACTCAATGATGAATTGTATTTGCTGACCAGGTCATTGTATCGACCATAGAACTTACGAAATGATGACTTTATACGAGACAGCTGATATTCTTGTTTCATCAACTTATTTGTCAATAATTTACCTCGTTTTAGAAATTGTACATACATAGAGCATGCTCTTGCGTATCGAATCAACTGAGAGATATATACCCCGTATGCAGGTGATGAAGGTATATTGCTGCATAAGTAAGGGAAGTTGACGATTGAAAAGTTAAAGTCATCACGTTTATCATAAAGCTTGGTTGTTAGATTACCATTAACGTCTTTTTCAAGTAAAATATCCAAATATGAAACAGATGTGTCAGACTCTGTGGTATCTTTTATCTCAAGTTCACAAGGATATATCGTATCGACATAAGAATGGAAATAGCCATTGTTAATTGACAATACGTCGTCGATATATCTAAATGTTGAGTTGAAGGCCACAGCAAGTGTTTTCTTCTTTTCACGTACAAGATTTTGGACAAATTCTGCTTCATATGAATACAAAAAAAGGTCTGCTAATAATGGGGCGCAATTGGTACCCATGGGAATTCCAATAGATTGTTGGAAGACCTGGTCTCCAAAAACCACATAGATATTGTCAATCAGAAACTCAAGCATCTTTTTAATGTCAACTTCAGAGTAAAGCCTAGACCCAAAATCACTTAAATCTCCCAATGAGAAACTCTAATTCTTGGGAGACTTCTTAGCATGTGTGGTGCGTATTGATTATTAAACTTAAATTTTGAATACATGTCAATGTGTATACCTGTGCATATATATTTCTCTGTATGATTTAAATAAAAGAAATCTTCATTAGGCCAAATTTAAAATAATGTTTGTTTGCCCTCTCTGAATGCAGGATTAAAAAATTGGGTCAGTAGGTAGGTTAGATAGAATATTCTATCGTTAAAATGATAAATGTCCTACGGACCCAGTTTAACGATAGAATGCGTTCCGTGTATTGTCTATGTAGCAAAGTAAATACGGGAGATAACTCTAACTCGGTGCATTTACTATGAAAAATCCTGAGAGTTCCGAATGTCAACATGGTGTGTAATTTGAAACAAGTAAAAAACGGTGGTGAAAAAGTGTTGAATTCATTCTTCCATTATATGGTTTAGATTTTTAGATGAAAGGTATTTACAGTCTCAAAAAGGTTTGTTATGATTAATTTGACTGTTATTTTCAATGCAACTTCATTAATTTTCTCCAAAATCGTTTTGGAGCAATTCTGCAATTTTCTGCCACATTACGCGTATATGGGAGGCATTCTAACTGTGGTGAGGGCCTGTCCTGAGACACAGTTAGATTATTCTAACTATAGGTAGGTGAGAAAAAAAAATTTTCTCAGAAAATTTCAATACTTAATTTTTAAAATCTATTTTCCAGAATACATTAAAAAAAAAAATAATTGCTTCTTGGAGGTTAAAAAAAATCTTGAGTCGGGCCATTTTTAGCCAGTTGGTCGGGAGAGGGCAACCAAACAATTTTTTATAGGTCGCCTTATTTTGTAATGAAAAAACACTCCTGGATGTTTGTATTTTGTATTCATGGCATGCATTTTACATTTTGAGAATAAGAAGGTCTAAAATCCTCAGCTTTTTTTTACATTGATATACCTGCTATGTTTTACATCTTGTGTAAATTTTAACAATACATGAATGGGTTAATTCTAGAGGAGTTCCAACCAAGTATTAGATGTAGTGGTCAACTGCATTGAAACAGATACTCTGCTGTGATTCATTATATTTTAAAAGTGGTAAAACAAACAATATTTGAGTATGTGATTTTTTGTTAACTGGAAAAGCACTTGTCCATGGACAGGTACCATTGTTAACTGGAAAAGCACTTGTCCATGGGCAGGTTCCATTGTTAACTGGAAAAGCACATGTCCATGGGCAGGTACCACTTACCAAATAACTTGCCCACCAAACAAAATTGGTTGTCCCAGGCACCAGGCATTGCTATTTGTCTAACCCTGTTGTGTCTCATCTTGTGAAATATACATCTAATTTGAATTTTTCAATTAAATAAAGTAATCCAAAGGCAATGTGTGTGTTTTATTTGTGTATTTTTAATTACTGAATGAATTCACAGTGCATGGAAAGCCAGTGAGACAAATATGGTAAATTATGCTGCAATCTTTATGTGTTGTGGATAGGCCTAGTCGCTCTCTACTAATGCATGAATCTAAGGATTAAGGCTGAATTTTTAATTATATTAACCATCTTTACACTCATCTTCAGGTTTTCACAATCATGGTGCTATGTCCAGGATATCAAAAGAATGGTCGTCCTTGTACAAATATTTTAGAACAGAAAAGTAAATTCTGTAAGCTTTGTGGATGGAAGATCGACCCTGATATATTTTTGAAGGAGGCTATTTCTTGTCCTAATGTCCCACTGAACAGTGAGGAGAAGTGTGGAACTTGGATAGAGAGAGACCAAATGTTCTGTGACCAATGTGGATGGGAAGTTAATCATGATTTCTTCCCCAGAAAACATAGTAAAGATGATAAAGATATGCCTGGTGATAGTTATAGCAATCTAAAGACTCAGATGAAAAATCTTACACTCAAACAAGAACAGCCAGAAGCATGTGGTACTCAGCGGAGGTACTCCCCTGATTATCAGACTGATAGGTGTAAGTATACACACTTGTATCATAGTTATACATATGTAATGAAAATCAATGCATAGAAAGATCTGTCAAATGACCATTCATTTTCATGGTGTTTTTCAGTGTTTTTTTAAAATTAATAAGGAGATTGTGTGAAATTCATTTATTCGGAATATATTTTAAGTTTATTTACCATGATAAAATATTTACCAGTAATATTAAAGTACATTTAATTTATATTTTTGATATAAGCTTTATGATGTTGTGTTATATGGTATTTTCTTTTAAGATTTTTGGGGTATCCCTTTACAGATGTGAACCACAAGGAAGACCCTCACTCTCCTAGTTCATCCTCCCAAAATGGGACCTCATCTTCCGTCTCCCCAAGGGAAACCAGGGAGACAAAGATTGGGAAGGTTCTGTTTGTCCACAATTTAAATGAAGAGGTAACATATACCGGTACCTAAACTTGTTGTCCCAATCAGACCAAGATTATGTGATTTATTCTTACAGTTTAAAGGAACTTCAGTCAAACCTGTTATCTTGAACTTGATGGTGCCAAGAAAAAAACTTCAAGATATACCCACAGATTCGAGATATCAAGGTTTAAATACATTTAGAAATAGTGATTGGGACTTCCAAATCACTTAGACATATCCATGATATTCGAGATATCAGTGTTTGAGATACCAAAGTTAAACTGTAATTCAGAACTTTAGCCCTGGAATTGAAAATTAACCACAGGTTAATTTGTACAATATACTGACATTTTTTTCTTTATTTAAATAGAAGGTTGAATGTTATGAGAGATTGTCATAGGCTCTTACTACTAGAGTATGTATATCAAGAGATGTTGTTATACCTTTAAAAATTGTTTCCTACATAAATCTGTACTAAAAAAAAGTTTAACATTTCCAATGTTTTACTGAGCGGTCCAAAAAAAAAATCAGTGTTTGACCGCAGAGTGAGATTTTGGTCCTGTTGATGAGATATTGGACTGCTTAGGTCACACTTTGGGCAGGATCAGCTAAACCTTATTTGCAGTCGTTGGTGTTCGATAGTGACAGAATTGACTTACATTAACCGCAGTGCGGGTAAAGGAAATTTACATCATGGAAACCAGCACAAAATACATGTACAGTTGAACTTCAATATCTCGAACACTGATATCTCGAATACCATGGATATGTTGAAATGATTTGGAAGTCCCAACCACTTATTTTTTAAGTATTTTACCACTGTTATCTCGAATTCTTGGATATCTCGAAGCTTTTTCGCGGTCCCATCGAGTTTGAGATAATGAGGTTTGACTGTATGTCAAAAAAAAATATTTGTAAAAGGTATAACAAAACATTTATTGGCTGTGTTCTCGGGCAAAATGCATTTTGTCAACCCCTCTAACAAAACTGTTTGCCTTCGGCCTAACAGCCTCAGGCAAACAGTTTGATTCTTGGGTCTGACAAAATGCATGTTGCCCTCGAACCCAGTCAATAAATGTATAATATTGAATGTTTGGTTTTGAAAATTTACTTACATACATAAGTTTTTTCTTTATTTTTAGAAAGTGACTACAGAGGGTCTGTTTAATCTGTTTAGTAAGTATGGTCATTCAATGTTCTATACAGAATCCTTATCTCCTGATAGGGTCTTTTTAGGAAATATTTATATCATCTCCTGAGAGGGTCTATTTAATAAATGTTTATATCATCTCCTGAGAGGGTCTATTTAGTAAATGTTTATATCATCTCCTGAGAGGGTCTATTTTGTAAATGTTTACATCATCTCCTGGGAGGGGTCTATTTAGGAAATGTTTATATCATCTCCCGAGAGCGTCTATTTAGTAAATGTTTATATCATCTCCTGAGAGGGTCTATTTAGTAAATCTTTATACATGTATCATTACATCACTTTATCATGATATTGTATGGATATTTTAAATTCATACTTATATGTTTTGAGGAGATACTGGTATTGTTTGTAATGATGCTACATGTATATTCACAGATATTTCACTTTCACTGGGTGATACTTTGTATGAAAAATTAGAAACGAGAAAATTACAATATTTTAATGGAATAAAATTCCATGTTTTTTTCCCCCAAAATATTAGCCAAATTCAAATTTTAAGAAAGCTTCTAGCTCTATCTGAGTACACTATAAAAGAGGAACTTATGGCCATGCATATTTTGGTGCAGATAAGTTTTAGTACTAAATAAATTTCTCTGTCAAATATTTTGAAGTTCAAATAGATTAACAAAACATCATTATTAAAGTTTAAGAGATCAAGGCCCTATTACCGTATTTGGCCGAATATAATACGCATTGGTGTAAAATACGCACCCCCTTTTTGAGCCTGAAACTGGGGGAAAAAACGCAGTTCGGTTGTATTATACGCAGCAGAAAATTTTACCAAGCGGTGTTCTGAACTTTTGAAAATCGCGGTAATTTGCTATGAAAATCGGCGCGGAGATAAAGTGCCGAAAATTTACAGAACACGATATTTTATTCAAATGCGTTTTTAATCTTGACTTTCCATATCACGGCAATCTGGAGAAATTATTTATTTTCAACAAAGCACGAGATAATGTTGCATTAAAGAATTAACAGAGTTTATTATTAATTTTTTTAGCATACGGTTATATTGAAATTATACGTCGCCGTATACTATTCTTTGTAGAAATAATTTTATTTCAACAAAGCACGAGATATTGTTGCAAGTCTAACAGTTATCATATTATTTTTAGTTTAAGGTAATCATGTTGAAAATTACGTAAATTTAACAGGGCAAGCGATATTGCAACATCAAAGTATTCATAGACTACGATTTTCCTCCTTTGAACTTGAAATTAATTAATTAATTAATTAAATAGCTGATGTTATAAAAATAAAATCAAAATTTAACAAGCGTGTAAAGTTTTCAACACACCTCCAAAGCTGTGAAAAATGATGTACAAAGGTGGGATATATGTCTTCATACATCGAGGTAATCTTCGTAGATATCTTATTTTCTACAGAGCACGGGTAAATGATAACACTTAAGTTTCAACATACTTCTTATTTCCTTTTTTAACTCAATCATTTTAACACGAGGCCGATATAAGATAAAGTAAAATTACATTTAACAAGCGTTTAACTGTTTAACTAATGTGTCGTAATCACATACGAAAGATCATAAACCAACCCCCGATTTTTAGCAAAGAAAATAATCAAAGCCATTAATAAGGGCAGTAAATAATCAGTGCTCTAACTGTAAAAACAATGCTTTGGAGTTGGTAAACAATTTAATTGCCTGGAGGGGTGTTGAGGGGTAATTATCAAGTGACAAGCGCACGTGTTCACAGCCTTGGCTTCCATTCATTGGGACGTATAGAGGGGTGTTTATGTTGAAATGAATTTTTACTGAGTTATTTAAAACCTAAAATAAATTTTATTTTATTGTATTTCATTAAAAAATGACTTATTACTTTTTTGACCGGTGTCTGACAGATTAGGTACATGTGTACTATGATTACGGAAGCACGTGGCAAAGGAATGTGTGAACATCTATAAATAACATCGTTAATGGCGGCCTACATGGAGACGATGAACATGCAGCTCAAATTAATTTTGACTTGCTTTTAAATTTAATTTAACTATCAAAAGGTTATAAATATAACATTTTTAACAAGCCTACGTTCCAACAATAACTTTCCGAAGTTTTAAATACGGCGATAAACAGCAAGAAATTGCATAAGTCTCTAGGTAATACTACGGTATGTGCGTATGATAGCTGTGTTTCACATGAAAGAAAAACCTATCAAAATCCAATTGTGGTGTAAAATACGCACCCCTTTCTCACAGAAAATTATTTTGGGAAAAAAGTGCGTATTATATTCAGCCAAATACGGTATACAATAGAACTTAACAAATAAGACCAGAATTTAAGCTTGCATGCCTCACATCTTTCATGCTTAAAAATTCTGTGACAAATTGTTTGTCTAAAATAGATTTAAAGGTTTGTACAATATAGAATAATGCCTTTTTCAAAATACAAATAATTTAAAGAAGAAAATAATTTGGTGACATATAAGTTTTTAAAAGTTCTTTGGTAAAATGGGGCCCAGATATCATTTCTCAGCAACATGCAACCCACAGTTAATAATTCTTTTGATAAAAAAAATCAATAAATTTGCAGGTATTTATGGCAGAGTAGAAATTGTGAAATTGTTCTTCAAAAAGAAGAGTTCAGGATTAATACAAATGGATAGCCCAGAACATGCACTGTTAGGTTTGTATTTCAGTCTGTAGACGGCTTATGTATCTTTATCACTGTATGACTCTATCACTGTAATACCAGTTGAATCTTAAAGAAAGAGCAGAATTATACAGAAAGTTTCTTTAAAAATGTTGGGTATTTTTTTAACGAATGGACATTTCATGTATAATTGAAAGTAAAGATGTGTTCAATATTTGGTCATTGAGTCTCAATTTGTGATATCACCCATACCACATGGCACATGATATCACCTATACCACATGATATCACCTATACCACATGGCACATGATATCACCTGTACCACATGATATCACCTATACCACATGATATCACCTATACCACATGATATCACCTATACCACATGATATCACCTATACCACATGGCACATGATATCACCTGTACCACATGATATCACCTATACCACATGATATCACCTATACCACATGGCACATGATATCACCTGTACCACATGATATCACCTATACCACATGGCACATGATATCACCTGTACCACATGATATCACCTATACCACATGATATCACCTGTACCACATGATATCACCTATACCACATGATATCACCTATACCACATGGCACATGATATCACCTGTACCACATGATATCACCTATACCACATGATATCACCTGTACCACATGATATCACCTATACCACTATTTATTTAATTAACTGAATATTGTGTCTTGATTCCTTTTCAGAATAAATGATGGTTGTCTTACATGTCATGCTAAGGTGTCTGTAGATAATATGTACTTAATCTCTTTGTTTCAGCCATTGAAAATTTGGACAGAGTGACTGTTTGGGATTGCACTATGCATGTTCAGTTTTCCAAGGCAGGGACAATTTATTTGGAAGATCATTCACAGGTATGACATAAACAAGCATAGGCATAAAATTTTCACCATAATCTGGTTTTCTCTTCAAGGTATTTTTTTAATTTAGATATTTATCACTGGTCTTCAGATAAATTGTTTGGCACCATATTGAGGACCCTGAATACAATAGTTCAGAGTGTCAAATCTGTGCCCCAGCAACAGGGTCTAGAGTGTGGCTAAATTGATCATACATGTTTTGAAAAATCTTCTTTCCTCCTCAGCCTCTAAGAGACAAGCTTCATGAATATAATAGTGAATGTAACGTCCTAGCAAAGTTCTAAAATATGTTTCAGATGATTTAGGAGTTCCCGTTTCTGTGGGACGTCTACATCAATATTTCATAAAGTAGTTTTTTTTATCCCTATATCATACATTTTATATTTAACAAGGCCCAAGCTAGTTGATCTGTGCAGACGTTTTCACACAGTATTGTTTTATAGGCATCAGTCCCGTCACAATAGACTTGATTGTTATTTGTCACAATTGAATAAAATAACACAACAGTTAAAATAAATGTTGTCACAATTGAATAAAATAACACAACATTTAAAATAAATGTTGTCACAATTGAATAAAATAACACAACAGTTAAAATAATTTAAATGACAACATATTACACTAAAACATATCTCACAGTTCTTGCAAAGGTCTGAAATGTGCCTATAAGAAGACTTTATGGGTGCTTCTATCTAGAATTATTTTTTATATGAATAAATATGAAAAACTAACATAATTTCTTTTTGATTAATAATGCCCATTCCTGTGCACCACCAAAGAAATCTATAAAAAAAATTCCACACATTTATGCTTTTTTGCCTTTTAATGTCACAATTTTTACACACTATAATTCTCTCAATGTCCCAAAAATCTTTTCCTTTAGTGTATAAAGGGTCCTTAAATTTTCGTTATTGAAAAAAAAAAACTATTTTATATATTTCAGCTTTTATTTTCCATTTTGTGAAGATATACATGCATGTCATCCAACCAAAAATACCAATTTCAAGTTGCCTTTAGTGCCTATTCTTATTTTTTGTGTTTGTGAAAAAACTTAGATATCTTGATTTTCAGTTCACAAAAGATTTCAGAAACACAAAGCTCTTCAGGGGAGGACCAGCATTTGACTATTTGAAGACAGCTTGTGCTCCATCTCCCATAATTCATCTGTCCAATTTTGTGTGAGTGAAAGTTGTTAACTAGATATGTTTAATTAAAAATATGTATAATTTTATATCAAATAATTCTATGAATCTTTATTCATGGATATTTTGGGGTTTACAGTTGCCTTGGAATTCTTAGACACATTGTTAATACATATACATGTACAGTCAAATCTTGTTATCTCAAACTCAATGGGACCGATAAAAAACTTTGAGATATTTGAGGATTCGAAATATCCAGGGTAAAATACTTAAAGAATAAGGGGTTGGGACTTCCAAATCACTTCGACATATCCATGGTATTTGAAATATCAGTGTTCGAGATACCAAACTTCAACTGTATTTTAATAGATGCATTTTCTTTATTTTGAATAGGAGCACCATTACAAAAGCAGACATCAATGATGTATTTTCAGAATATGGAAACGTGTTGGACATTGTCATGTTTGAGTAATTAGAATTATTTTATTGTCTATTAAGCATTCTAACTTGTAATTCTAGCTTATATTTGATGATTTCAATTATAATTCTTTTTTTTAATTCAGATAATGAATTATTCAGTCTTGGCAAAAACTCTGCCTTTGCTCATTTGTCTCAAAATCTTGCTTCAAATATATGCATTGTATCTGATTCCTTAATTTGGGAGTATAGGATACAACATGGTACTTCCTTTTTACTTCCATTTTATGATAAAGACTACTAGTCCCAGGTATCAGGCTTTAAAGGGTCATAAACAAACATCCCTTTTCCATATTTATTTCATAAGATGATGATTTAGTGAAGTAATATATAATTTTGCAGATCAAAAGGGAAGAGAGGGGCTTTGGTCGAGTATGCTTCAATAGCACAGTCCATCTTGGCTGTTATGGTAATTACAATATTTTCAATCTGTTTCATGGATATTTTAGTTTATAAATTCACATCATTGATCACTTATTATGGAACCTTGCAGAAAAATTACATAAAGGGAATATGTAAAGAAAATTTCTGCAATGATTGAAAAAAAAAATGTAGCTCACGTGAGCTGAAGGCTCAAGTGAGCTTTTCTGATCGAAATTTGTCCGTTGTCAGTTGTCATCTTTGTTGTCATTGTTGTTGTTGTCGTCGATGTCCATCATCCCTCTATCCGTCTGTCCGTTTGTAAACTTTTCACAATTTCATCTTCTTCTCCAGAAATACTGGGCCAGTTTCAACCAAACTTGGCACAGAGTATTTTTTTGGTGAAGGGGATTCAAGTTTACTCAAATAAAGGGCCATGCCCTTTTCCAAGGGAGATAATTACAAATTAGTGAAAAATTAATAGCATTACAGTAAACTTCTTTTATAACGTACTTGGTTATAAAGTATCTCCGGATGTAAACTAGCCATTCCATAGTCCCGGCAAATTGTCTATATATTTCATTGGAAAAAACACCGCTTACAATGTATTTGTATATAACGTAGTATCGCCTATAAAGTATTAGAAATTTGGTCCCATTACATAATTACACCACTTATAACGTATTCTGACACCTGGTTTCACACCTTTTCTATCAGCTCAGTGACTGCGGATTAGGCACGGTTTGTTGACTTCATAGCTTCTCCGTAATGGGTGTTTTTCTAACGAGGTTTCTTTGTTGTTTCAGGTAGATTTATTTATAATAAATTGTTTGAATAAAGTTCATCGAGTAGATGTATACATAATAAAATTGTTTGAATAAAAAATCATCTTTGAGTCAGTAAATAGCAATATAACCAAAAATGATATAATTAAACTATAATAGTGAAAAAAATAGATTCAATATCAGTAAACCGCGAAGACAGCGAGGATGATGAGGCCGTGCCTGACACGTGCATACCATCTACCCAGACGATCAACGGACATTAGTCCGAAGTTTTCACGACTCTGGCAACTCTGGAGACTTTTGTAAAGAAATGTTGTCAGGCCAAACAGACAAACATTACGGATTTTTATATGATCTGACGATCAATATATAAAATGTTACGGAATATTAATCTTTCTTAATATAAGAAATGAAACCAAATATACTTGTAAATCATTTACAATCTATACATACTTTAAAATATCAATAACACACTAGCAGTTTGAAAACTGTTTACGGTAAAGGTGTACTGAGTACTTCCGGTCTCCCTTTATAACGTACACCGGTTATAACGTAGGATTTATCACAGTCCCTTGAGATACGTTATAAAAGATGTTTACTGTATTTAAAAATCTTCTCAAGAACCACTGGGCCAAGAAAAATGAAACTTATGTGGAATCATCCTCAGATAGTGTAGATTCAAGTTTGTTCAAATCATGACCCACGGGGGTAGGGTGGGGCTACAATGTGGGGATCAAAGTTTTACATAGGAATATATAGGAAAAATCTTTAAAAATCTTCTTCTCAAGAACAGCAAAGCCATGTTTATATAGTCATATTGATATGGAAGCATCCTCAGGTAGTGTGGATTCCAATTTCTTCAAATCATGACCCCTGGGGATAGGGTGGGGCCACAATGTGGGGATGAAAGTTTTACATAGGAATATTTAGGGACAAATCTTTAAAAATATTCTTCTCAAGAACAGCAAAGCCATGATTGGTCATATTTATATGGAAGCATTCTCAGGTAGTGTAGATTTAAAGAACAACTCTCAATAAGGCTTATCTGTGGTCTCCGGTTACTCGTCAAATTTCGAACATTTATTAACATTTTTAAAAATTAAATTTTATTGTTAACTAATGTCTTTATTAATTGAATCATCAGCTAAAAATGTCAAACAATAGATATAGGCAGCATACGAAGCTGTCCGTTGAAGGTAGGGTTCTTTGATTTTCATGAATATCAAAAGACATCAGTGACAGGTACACACTTCAAAGCTTTCGTAAACACCGAGCACAGGTTTGTTCAGAGTCGAGTTTGAAATATAATGTGTATATTATATGTGTAAAGGTTGAGTGAAAATATCTTTGTTGAACAACCTTGTGCTCTATGTTTTCTAATCAAAAGTATTGTGATTTTGAATCTCTTCGCTGACTTCATTTACATGCGATTAACCTCTTTATGACCTGTTTAGAATCATAACAAGCCACGTGGATTTGTATCGTTACGGGTAAATGCCCCCAGTAAACGTGCTAGTTCTCAGTTGAAACGTACTCAGTTTTATATTGATCAGCATGGACTTGTTTGGTTCATCTTGTTATAGCTTTTATTGCCAAAGTTTTGTTAATAGAAAATTGGATTTGTAGTTGATTGTGAATCTTGAACATATTATTCGTCTTTGAAAAAAAACTATCATACCAAGATCTTCTTTTTATAGTATCTAATCTAAATGTGTCTGCCCATTTCCATGTAATAGAGAAACCGTAGTCTGATCGGGGGAAAATGTTCCGGCATTTTTTAGTGCGATAGGTGTTAAAAATAGGCTTGTATTTTTTTGATATGTTTGATTATTCATTATAAATACACAATGTTTTAATTAGAAATACTTCGTTATACACAGTGAAAACAAACAAAATACCGTATGCTAGTATTCAACCGGTAAACCAAGGGTGTAAAAAGGGACCACACTACTATACTTAAGTAGAATACTCCTTTGTTCAAATCATGTCTCCGGCAGGGTTGGGCCACAACGGATTATCAAAGTTTAACATAGGAATATATGTATATATGAAAATCTTTAAAAATCTTCTTCTCAAGAACAGCAAAGCCATGTTTTGTCATATTGATATAGAAGCATTGTTCAAATCATTGCCCTGGGGGTTAGGATGTGGCCACAACAGGAGATCGAAGTTTTTCACTGGAATATATAGGAAAATATATTTTAAAATATTCTTCTCAAGAAAAGCAGAGCCATGAAAATAGATATTTATATACAAGCATCCTCAGGTAGAGTGCAGGATTAAGTTTGTTCAAATTATTGCCTCTTGAGGGTGGGTTGGGCAATAGCAGGGTATACACATTTTACATTGGAATATATAAGGAAAACCTTTAAAAATCTTCTCAAGAACAGAGTTCTGATTTATCATATTAATATGCCAGCATCATCAGAAATTGCAGATCAAGAGATTTGAATCAGGTCAGGCATTTTTCCTCTCCAGCTATTAGTTATCAGAGACTTTCTCTGCTTTTGTATAGGTTTGCATTATTTAATTTTTTAGTGCTAGACATGATTCCGTTTTTATTGATTTAGAATTATACAATTAATAAGTTGATATCTTGAAAACCAACAAATATTATTTGCATTATTTAATTTTTTAGCTCACCTGAGCCAAAGGCTCAAGTGAGCTTTTCTGATCACTTTTTGTCTGGCGTCCGTCTGTCTGTCCGTCTTGGGTAAAGGGGATTTAAGTTTGTCCAAATGAAGGGCCACGCCCTCTTTCAAGGGGAGATAATAAAGAATTAGTGAAAAATTAATAGCATCTTTTAAAAATCTTCTTCTCAAGAACCACAGGGCCAAAATAGATGAAACCCATGTGGAAGCATCCTCAGGTAGTGTAGATTCAAATTTCTTCAAATCATGACCCCTGGGGGAAGGGCGGGGCCACAATGGAGGATCAAAGTTTTACATACAAATATATAGGAAAAATCTTTAAAAATCTTCTTCTCAAGAACAGCAAAGCCATGATGAGTCATATTTATGTGGAAGCATCCTCAGGTTGTGAAGATTCAAGTTTGTTCAAATCATGACCCCCAGGGGTAGGGCGGGGCCACAATGGAGGATCAAAGTTTTACATTGAAATATATAGGAAAAACATTTAAAAATCTTCTCAAGAATAGCAAAGCCATGATGAATCATATTTATATGGAAGCATCCTCAGGTAGTGTAGATTCAAGTTTGTTCAAATCATGACCCCTTGGGATAGGGCGGGGCCACAGTGGAGGATCAAAGTTTTACATAGCAATATATAGGAAAAATCTTCTTCTCAAGAACAGCAAAGCCATGATCAGTCATATTTATATGGAAGCATCCTCAGGTAGTGTAGATTCAAGTTTGTACAAATCATGACCCCCGGGGGTAGGGCGGGGCCACATTGGAGGATCAAAGTCTTAAATAGAAATATGTAGGAAAATATCTTCTTCTGAAGAACGGCAAAGCCATGATTAGTCATTTTGATATGGAAGCATCCTGAGGTAGTGTAGATTCAAATTTATTCAAATCATGACCCCTGGGGATAGGGTCGGGCCACAATGGGGGATCGAAAATTTTACAGAGGAACGTATAGGAAAATATCTTCTTCTCAAGAACTGAAAATCAAGTTTAGTCATTTTGATCGGAAGCATCCTCAGGTAATGTAAATTCAATTTTGTTCAAATGATGACCCCTTGGGGAAGGGTAGGGCCCAATGGGGGATCGAAAGTATTACATAAGAACATATAGAAAAAAATATTTCTTCTCAAGAACAGAAAAGCTATGTTTAGTCATATTGATATGGAAGCATATTCAGGTATGTAGATTCAAGTTTGTTCAAATGATGACCCCTGGGATAGGGAGGAGCCACAATGGGGGATCAAATTTTTACAAAGGAATATATGGGAAATTTTTTAAAATCTTCTCAAGTATAACAAAGCCATTGCTTAGCAAATGTGCTCAGGTGAGCATTGTGGTCCATGGGCCTCTTGTTTGTGCTAGACATGATTTCATTGAATTATACAACTAATAATATGATATTTTAAAAACCAACAGATATTAAATTTTATTTCAAGTTTTTATAACAGCATATGTTACAGTCTGGTGTTAAAATACTGGATATTTTATGGGTGGAAAATCATTATAACTTGAGTAAATATTCTACTTTCCAGATGATCAATACATGTATTAGCATTATTGACTTTGTTAAATACTGCTTGGTTTTTAAATAATGATCACATTTCCCTGGTTCCACCCTTAATTAAAATAATTATGCTTTATTTGTTGATAGACTCCTAGAGCATGGTGTATCTGACAGTATAATAACTTGGAAACTAGACATCATGTGTGTTTTTTTTAAATTTTTTTTTGGGGGGGGGGGGGGGGTATAAAGATTTATCAACTTGTAATAAGAGCTCTTTTAGTACATTTTTTAGCTAACTGATCAATATTTATTCTAAGTCTGTCATATATTTTAAACTCTCCACATACATGTATTTGACTTCATCTTCAGATCTAAATATATAAACCTTGGCCACTAGACTGTTAAAATTAGTATTATTGCCTTCAGATCTCAGTATCTTCAGTTATAATTGCTGAAATTTATCTGAAAGGTTATGTGACTCAGATGAGCATTGTGACCCATGTTTAGTAAAACACCTGAAACAAAGACATGATTGAATGGATCTATACTAAATTTTAAATTGGCCCATTCATCTCTCTGTTCATGGGTGCATGGATTGGAGAGTTCAGTTTATTTTAGCCATAACCACACTGTGTTTTTAGCATTTGTACTTTGTCTTCTACAACATCAGGTGTTGAACCTTTATTTAACGCTTCAGAGTCTGTGGTTGAAGTTTATCAAAAATAGAAAACAAATCTGTGAATGTAATGTGCAACTTAATACATATATTTCCATCTATTTCAAATCATCACTGCTGTATTTATTGTGTTTTGCTTAGGATATTACTGATATATATTCCTAATTATTCTAGGAGATTTCATGGTAACATTTCAGCCATACTATTTTATTTTTTGAAGAATTAAAAGATTTAGGGTCACTATTTTGTTTGGTAAGAATAATATTACATTTTATTATATGATTGAATAATTCCCTTCTCTCTTATTAGCTGAAATCCAACAATGTTAGAAAAATACTATGCTATATTCATCTCCATGTGACCTTCCAGGTGAATATTATATAAATACTGCACGTAGTTGAGTGTAACATTGAAAATTTTCACCCCAAGAAAGCCATTGTCAACCGAGGCTGCACCTCAGTTGACAATGGTTTTCTTGGGGTGAAAATTTTCAATGTTACACTCAACTACGTGCAGTATTTATTATATTATACTGAATGTTTTACACAATTGCATATTACAGTGAACCTTGCGTGCATAAATTCTGTGCAGTCAATATTTTTTGGAATATCACACGTCATCAAGCAATGTCGACTGTTGCTATGCTGGAAGGCGTGGCTTCATTATTCAGAGGGTAATAGTGTTTTTTAGCAAATGCTTCTCGACGAATCAGATTTCACTAATTTACATGAAAGTATAATATAAGGATTTGTTTTTTCCACATTGGACTAAAAATAGATTGGGAAATTCCAAAGTGATACAAATAGGTTTGGAAAGTTATTTCACTTGCACCTGACTTCCTTTCAGGTGAACATATCATTCAGGCATGTAAAATCTGGAGTGAGGGGTGGGTATGGAGGGGGGAGGAAGAGGACTTACCCCCATCACACTTTTTTATGAAAGAAATTTTTTACATATGTAGTACATGTATAAAATGTTCATTGAAAGCCCCCCTGTTAATGGACTTTAATACACCCCCCTCCCCCCAAGGTAAAATTTGGATTTGAAAGATTTCTTTTTGGGGGAGGGGGGTGTCAAGGAATTTTTTTTCAGGTAAGTGATCTTTTTTTTTTTTTTTTTTTACATTATAATACCCCTGTTTTAAAAATTGATCCTCTATATGTGCCTGACATTTATTTTTTCCTACATCACACCTAAAATAGATTTAAGAATTCTAAATTAATACAAATGGTTATGTTTATTTTAACCCAGTTTCTCTCATTGCATTTTTCTATGACTTCTGCAAATGTAAAAAAGTAAGATGGCATGGATTGCTTAAAAAGAATCATTTATTAATGAATCATATAATAAAACAATTATTGCTGTTTTTTTAGTCAATACGATGATTTAGCCACCTTCAAAGTACAATATTCATCTTGCCCCTCTGGCTCGGTGAATATTGTACTCCTTAGGTGGCTAAATCATCGTACTGACTCAAACACAGCAATAATTGTGTAGTACATGTATGTGTACCTAGTGATTCTGCAGTGTTGAATTTACGTTTTAATATTTCCAGGACTATATAGTCATAATTGCTATTGTAATCTTTTGAGGTTGTAATACTAAAATAAACAAGAATGCTTGGGTCAGGGAGAAGGGAGCTTTTTTACATGTACATTATTGAATTGTAAATATTTGCCTATACATGTAATGCCTTTTTTTGTTTTTACCTTTTACAGGCCATGCACAACTTCCTGTTGCCAGATAACTCCAGACTGAATGTTACATTTTCCCATTTCAAATCCTTGAACAAAAAGTAGTTTGAAAGAAGAAAGCTTTGAACAGTTCCCACTGGCTGAGTCTGCTGTTATTTAGAAGAAATAAAAAAAAAAAAAGAACAGGAAGCATACTCAGTGTGGACCTGTAGATATTGATGTGGATTTTTTATTTTTAGTGAGTGTGTCATGATAAATGTATTTGTTTACAAGGTATGTAATTTTTTGTACTTTTTTTCTTATATATGTTACATATATTTTGTTTTATTATACCTGATATAGACAATATATTGCAGTACATATGTAGTCATAGTTTTGTTAAGTTGTAAAATTAGTAAGTGATTTGACATGCAATATTGTATACAAGTGATCACATCAGGATCAAATCTACATTTAATACTCTTATAGCAAGAAATCAAAACATACAGCCAAATATTTTAAAATCTTGAAAGAAAAGGAATGAAAATTTGATTGCGTGAATGTTTTGATTCATATGGTACCTAGCCAGACTTGCCTTTTTATTCAGTAAGTATAGATTTTTGAACTGAACACCCCTCTGTGTTCACATTGATTTTGTAGGAAATTACCCCTCTGTGTTCACATTTATTTTGTAGAAGAATTACTATGTTTATTCATTTTATTTTACCATATTATCACATTTATATTCACAAGTGTATGTGTAGTCTTTCAAATGGCCATAAAAGTGACAGTGAAGGTTAATAGCTCAGCTATTATTTTTATGTAACTCAGTTCTCTCTGCCTAGAAAAAAAAGTGCAGCCAAAATTATAATGAACTGTTTTTATGGACTTTGTGTAAAGTACACAGATCATAATTTTCATGTATTTTCTTCTAAGACTTCTTGTTTATAATGTGTTGTGTTCTCATGTAAAAGACTGCTTTCTAAAAGTATAACCTATTATGTGGAAATACAATCTCTTCTTCTGTACAACTATGCCCCCCTTTTTATGCCCCAAGATCGAAAGCTTTAACCTTGGCCATAACTTTTGAATGATTGGTGCTTCGTCTTTCTTATATGACCTGTGTATTTCTTGGGAGAAGGCCTTTCCTTTGGCACCATTAATTTTGACCATTTGACCTTGACCTTGATGTTTGACATACTTTTGAAAAAAACTTTAACCTTTTCCATATTTATTCAATGGTTGCTGCTAGGCCTTTCATATTTCACAGGTTTATTCCTCAAGACAAGACCTTACTTTGGATATCAACATATTTGATTTGCATTTGAGAAAGTTTAACCTTTGCTATAAGTTGCCATATGGGGGCATCACTGTTTCACAAACATATCTTGTTTTTTATTTAATTCTGATGATATCTGGAGACTAGCAGTAGTATGTTTCTTCATTTTAAAAAAAAAAAAATAGCATACCTCATTTTGTGCCTGTTATTTCTTTGCTTCCTCACTAATCCATCTTTGTCAAATTTATTCATGTTCATACAAGAAGCATCACCCCTAAGTCTTACAAATCTGCCCACTTGTTATCCAATGTTCCTCTTCATTTTTCTGGAGACAATTCACTCTGGAAGCAAGTTTGTGTGTATCTCAGTATCATGCAGACATTTTCTTCTTCTCTTAAATCTTCTGAAAATTGTTGATAGTTTACTTAATTGTTCTGGTTGTGATCTGAATTTTGTGTCTTTTTCTCTTTGATGCTTGAGACTGGTTGAGACCTTTTGCCGTTTGAGATGTACTATTTGAAAATCTTCTTAATTGACTTGTATTCATGAAGTCGTCTGTGTATTATTTTTTATTTTGTGCAGTCATCATTGCTCTCAAAATCAAGCACCTGTTTTGTTCATCATTCATTTTTTTTTTCGTGTTCCAAGAAGACAGTATTCATTTCTTGAAACTGAGTTTCCTGCACTTTATTTCTTAAGAGTCTTTTTTTCTGCTATATCTGTTTATTCCATAGCTCATGTTGATGTAACATTAATATATAGTGTTCTACATTGTTCTCTAGATACTTGTTCAAAGATGAGCTATTTTCTGATGACAACTTCAACAAAATCATATCACCTTGTAACAGTGCATTGATATCAGTATTTATGTATTGAGTTTGCAAACTTATCTGGTGCTTTTATAATTCAGGACCTTTGATCAGGGACCTATATACTAAGTATATAGGTCCCTGCTTTAATATAAGGTACTCATCTGTTTTATAAATTTTGCAGTTTGTTTTAAGCTTTCACATGTAACTCTTTTTAGAATGTCAATAAAAAAAAATCACTGAACAGTTTTGTTAGAGGTTGTTTGAGATGTTTTTGGTGAGGATAAAAACTCACTATAGGTGCTGCATTATTTGTGTTCTAAAATTTCAGTTCTTTTTTTCACATGTAGTTAACATGGTATTCAGAAATAAAATTCTGTTCAAATTTTATATTTTTTCCTTTTTTTAGCCAGAGGCTCAAAGAGCTTAAATGTATGCTGTTTCCATTTTTGTGGTGTGACAGACATTTTCTGAATGTGGACCATATCTCAAGAATCTCTTAGCCAATTTTTTTCAAATTTGTCACAGAGAATTCTTGGGCCAAAGGCTTCATTTATACTAAAATTGTGACCCTTAAACAAAGGGAAATAATAGATAGTTTTCATATGAGGTATTTTCTCTCCGAGTTATTTCCCTTGGCCGCCATCTTGGTGGTCAACATGTTTTTTCCTCTTTGTCTTACCAAATTTAAGAGGATGTAGCAGAAATATTTGGGGAAAATCTTTATAAAACAAAAATTATGAAATAAAGGGGGCTTTAACAAATGTATATTTTTCAGAAAAACAATGCTTCCTTCCTCACAATGGTCAGTATAAAAAGTTAAAGTTGGTTGAATAATGAAGGAATATGAGCATGTTGACCTCCAATATGGCGGCCTACGGGAAATAACTCCTGCTAATTCAGGCCTACTGAAAACCATCAGGGAAAGGTAAAATTAGTAGTAGTTGCTAATAAAATGCTGGGCAGATTATCACCAAACTCATGTATACATAAGAATGAGGACATCATACTACTTCAAAGGGGTGTGGTCCTAGGGTTAAATTGACCTAAAATGATACCCACTTTGAGGACTATACGGTCATCAAATCTTGTCAGTGGATGCATCTTAGGACCTTGTGATATGTGGACCCAAAAGTAGGTCACAGAGACTAACTTTTGAATTTGGCAGATATTCGTTTCAGATTGATTTAGATGCATATTTTTAACTTTGTGAAGCCTAGGATCTCCAAACCTAGTCTGCTGATGCATCTTGTAGTCTCGGGTGTGTCAAACAAAACCTAAGTCACAGTGACTTACTTTCTAAATTTTTTGTCCATTCATTTTCAAAACTTTTCAGTTAATTATTTTGGATACTAAGAGGCTTAGAATTATCGAACTTTTATGGCTAATGCATGTTGGGGCCTCTGTATGTGTCAGCTTAACGTCATGAACGTTTTTACAGTTAATTATGTGTGTATTGGACACATCTTTGATGCAGGTTCCCCAACATACTAATTCAGGTTTACAGGTGGTATAGGACTAAACGGTATCTTTTACTGCTGATTTAAAATTACAATATATTGCATTCCATTGAGATCTCTTTTTTACCTTGGGAAAGGGAAAAATTGCAATGTTGGAGAATTGATAGACGCTTCTATTTGCCGTCAAATCTTTCTGAAACCCTGAGCATGGATCATCTTTAATACTATTGTTCTTTTTGTCCCTGAACTGCTTATGCCATTTAGAAACTTAAAAGATTTGGACACAGGTCTTTCTTTGCCTGCTTGATTCAACAATTTACGTTTGCAATTTCCCGAGTTACATACAAAACTCAGAAATCTGCTAGGGTGCCAACATGGGGGTTACTGTAGGCACCATTAAACACAATGGTACCATTGATTACCAGTAAAACCCTGAATGGTTTGGCATACCGATAGTATAAATTTTACCAGTGTTACCAATGGAAAACCAGTTGCAACATAAGTAACACTGGCAGCACAATTTTGTATATATTTTAATAACAAATAGCTTATTGCAACACTAATTGTAATACAACAAATATTTTCTTTCACATTTTCCTCTGCTTTCACTGAAAGCGAGGATATTAATTTGGGTCTGTCTTTCCGTCTGTTATTCTGTCTGTGTGTAACATTTGTTTCTGAACAATATCTCAAAAAGCCTTTGAGCTTTTGCAATGAAATTTTATACCAAATCTCCTATGGCTTAAAAAAGACCCCTATTGATTTTGAGGTAAAAAGGTCAAGGTCAGAAATTCTGTCTGTGTGGAATATTTTCGTTTCCGGGTGGTATCTAAAACAGCCTTCGAGCTTTTTCAATGAAATTTTATATCACAAGTTCCTATGACCTAAAGAACACCCCTATTGAATTTAAGGTCAAAGGACAAGGTAAGAAATTTAAACATTGCAAAAATGGTTTTCAGATGAGCTTTTTCAAAGGAATTTTATATCATAACTCCTAGTGACTTAAAAAAAAAACCTATTGACTTGAGGTCGAAAAGTCAAGGTCAAAAATTTATTAACAACTGTGGTTCTTTGTTAGCTTTTGCGATGAAAGCTAAGAGGTCAAGGTCTACTTTTTTCTTTCTCCATCTGCATTTCTTGCAGGTCTCCCACCCTTTTCTTTTTTCCTTAAGTAGAGGACTCGAATTCCCTGAATTAGCTTGTTTTGGGTAAATTTTAAAAAGAATATGAGCTCAATTTTAGTAGATTTGACTAATTTATTTATTTTTTTTTTTTAATATAAAATTGATGCACAGTGCTTATTTGAAAATTTAGTAGAAATGAGAATTTTGTAACAATTTGTTTACATTGTTTATACTTATCTTCAATGAAGTTACCTAACGTAATTTGAGGTTGCTTCGGGTATAAAAAAAACACGGGTATATGAATAGTTGGTATTTTTTTTATTGCTTATCATTAGGTTGATTCAGTAATTAGAAATTATATATTTAATGCTTTTAATTAAGTTAGAAAGTGTGCCAAATTTGAAATCTATCATACATAATATTGATTTCAACATCAGTGGCGGATCCAGGAATCTTGAAAAGGGGGGGGGGCGACTAGTCTGGGGTCGGGGTAGGGGCCCACAGCCACACCAAAAAAAAATTGAATTATTAAATCTTATGTATATTTTGGACGCAAAGGGGGGGGGGGGGCTGGGCCCGCCCCTCTCTAATTCCGCCATTGATCATGCTAGTCCCGAACTTTTTGATCATCTCTCATATTTTAAGAATTTTATGAATATTGAATTTCAAAAATATTCAGCTAAAAATCTTGGATAATATTAAGATGCTTAGAATCATTAAACTTTATGACATTGCAATGTGTTGACCTTACATTTGGTCGATGTCACAGGGGCCCACTTTGTGGTTTTTAGCATTTTTTGAAAATTTTTAACCCATATAATTTCAGGACCATTTCTTTCTAAACTATACTTTCAGGTAGCTTTACAAGGAAGAAAATCTCTGGATCCATAAAATAATTCATTAAGGGACCTGTGTATACATGAAAGTCTTGATGTCTGATGAGGTTAACTATATTTGGTAACTAGATCCTATTGTGATAGATAGATTGAAAAAAATAATTAATTAATTTGGATGCTAGCATTCACTGGAAAAAAAAAGTCAGTACAGTTAGGCTTCTATAATAATGTATTTGGGAGGGGGTATGTCATATTGCTCATGCATGGTCTTGGTTTTTTGTCAAGACAAATTTCTATGAATTAAAATTCAACAAAAACAGAAGAGATTTGACATAACACTTGGATGGAATCTTCACAAGCAAGATGTTGTTATTACGACAGAGTAATATAGAACAACATATCCTGAGTTAACGTCATGACACGCATTTGAATTCGTTCCAATCAAGAGTTCCAGAGGTATGACTATTATTTGTCTTTCTCTTTACCAATTGATTTTGACTTGATTCAAGCTTTTTTTAAGATCATGAAATATTTGAAACAATTGTTGGAATCATATAAAAACTAGTTCAACTGCCATAATTCTAATAATTGAAAGCTCCAAATTAAAATTTTGTTACTTTATAAATATTTGTTAAGTATGTTGACATCGGGGAAACCATTTCACAATAGAAATAATTCAGAAACATAAGTAAGAGTAATTGGCCTTTACACCATTTTTTTTTTAAGTTAAAACTATGCATATTTTTAAAATTCTTTTACTAAAACATTATTATTACACCTATTGAAAAACATTCTTCCAAAAGAAACATTGATATTGGGCACCAAGTTTTAATGAAAAATTTTCCAAAACCGTGTGACGTCACGTGAGATTGGAGATACCTTAAATCAGCATCGGTTACACAATAATACATGAGAAAGAATGTCTTAAAGTCTGATCGAAGTCTTCCCAGCAAAAGGTTCGAGAGATGGCATAGACAGGAGTTCTGTGACAAGAAGATAGGAACTTTCATAATCCCATTTTTTTCTTCTTTTTGAATTTACCGGGTTAAATATAAAAAATACACGACAATATATTTTTTATATTTTCTGTTATCCGAAATAAAACAAGAGGCCCAAGGGCCTTAACGGTCACCTGAGTATAATACAACAATTTAGAGGATCCATAAAGTATAAAATGAACTGAAAGGTGAAGCTTTGTTGCCCAAAAGCAAGAAAAATAGGGTGATCAGGATCAACAAAATAATTAGTCTAGTATTCATTAACAGTTCATAAATTAGGTTCTAATCTGTTCCCCATTTATCACTCTCACCAGACAGTATATTAAGAAACTATCAGTGCTTCTGTACTCTTTTAATTCCTTGTGGAAATTTCTTACATTGGCCTGAGTAAGACTCTTGGTCTTTGATGAACATTTAAGGTACTGGTATTCCATCCCTAATAGCCTCAGATTCAATCAATTTGAATACATAACAGATGTGTATGGGTGGAATACTCAGTATATTTAGACATAATCTCCATTTATTACTATTAGCATGTAAGAATGGAAGTGTCCTAATTTATGACTTGACCTTTGTTGAAGAGTTATCTCCCTCTTTTTTTAAGTAATAAAAATCAATTTAAAAAAAATATACAGTAAAAAAATTGTTTTCAATTGTCATTCTATTTCTAATGATTTAATGGATCTTTCCACCACAGTATTTATTGATATTCTTATTATCTGAATTTTTATTTTAAAAAAATCGCTTGTCTCCATAGACTTCAATGCAATTTCTATTAATTAAATACTGCTTAGTTAATTACGTTTTTGAAACTTTCACTTGGTAAATCCTTTTCTACTGTAAAGTTCTTTGAATTAATATCAGAGTATTATATACGTGATTGATATTTAAGGATAGAGAATTAGTTCCTATTAGGGATGGAAAACCTTAATAAGACAAGTCAACCTGATCATTAAAACTGAAAGTACTTTT